GAGCGAATACAATGAAAATAGAAGAATAATTGGAAAAAATGGCTAATTTTAGGTATCTAGGAAGTCAGAAGTCAGGACGGAAGGAGTAGTAGGGATATAAAGCAGAGAAATGCGCAGGGTCGAGTCGCCTTCAATAAAAAGAAGTCATTTTTATGCTCGCGAACATCTCAAATTCGAAAAAAATTGTTAAAAGTGTATGTTTGGAGCCCGGCGCTGTACAGGTGCGAAACGTGGACGGTGGGCGTGGCGGAAAGGAAACGGTTAAAAGCGTTCGAAATGTGATTAAGTTAGAGGCAAATGATGAGGATACCGTGGGTGTAAAAGGTTAGAAATTAAGAAGTTTTCACTCAGAAGAATGATAAGATTGACCCATATGACACACTAGACATATTTAAATTAAAGTAATTTCGGGGGATGCTAGAAAACAATTGATTCTCAAAATGGGCAGTAGACGAATTAAATCTGAAAACCACTGCAAAAAAAAACATGGAAAAGGTCAGCACACCAAGTACAACAGCCGAAGAGAGTCGTCAAGGTCGGTGCCGCACATGGCACACGATTATATTATATAGTGGAATTCGTTTATTATGACTCCGCCTATATTGATGAACCGCTTAATATGAAGTAATTGCAGTGTTTGGTTTTCTTATTAAATTCTCTAGAGGAAAGTTTGGATATAATAACTCCGTTTAAAATGGCATATCGTTTATTATGACTGATTCTCAAGAAATCATATCCGGCTATAGCGACCCAAGTGATCAATAATAATAACATTTTCGCTCATTTTTCTGACCCTTCTTATGTATATTGATATTACAATTCATCGTTCTTTTTCTTTTTCTGTTAATAAATATATACAATTTGTAGTTTTCCTCTCTATTAAACTAAATAACTAACCAAAATAGAAAGTTGTTTTTTTTCTAAGACTATGCTTTGTATGACGCCCGCTTAGTATGACGTGTTTGTCATTTCCCTTCAATGTCATTATAAGCGGATTCTACTGCACATAATTATGTTTGTTTAAATGAAAACGAAAAGAGCGACGAGAACTTTTTATCTTTATATTACTTTATCTTTACCGTCGGCTTCGCCAGCACAGAGATTATTAAGTCTGAAAATACCAAAAACAATACAGTGCTAGGCTTGAGAATACTCTATTGAAAAACTATACTGAGCATTTAAAAACTTATAACTATGTACTATCTTCACACCGAAATTAAAGTATTGCTTTAGAAAAGCCAAGCTATAACAATATCTTAATTATATAATAATAAAAAAATGAAATTCAAAGTTAGTATCCACTTTACGTATTTTTTGCTCTATTCGCAATTGAAAACACCTTTTCGCAACGAATTTTCGTTTTAAAGCGGATATTTGTTGACTTTTATTTCCTAAAGTCAAGGACAAAAAACGATTAAATTAAAAGAGCGATTGCCTTTAAGAATCATCTTACATGTTGTCTGTAACTGAAGAAAATTAAAAATTTTAAATCTTCTATAGATCAAATAAAAACTCGTTTCCTCGCTTATTTAATTTCAAAGCGACAGAAAACACGTCCTCTCGCCCATGTCATTTTTTTTTTTTCGTAATCTCTTAGGCTTAATTAAATTAATTTTTCCATTCGAATACTTACAAGAACTCAGCAGAAACTGTCTTACAAAATAAATTATTCACGCGATTTTAGAGATACCTAATAAATAAGCAAAATGTGCTGTCGGCCGTTGCCATCATACTGCGAAAGTTTATAACATAATTGCCAATTTTTCTTTTAAAACCAAGCTACCGTCAGATCTAAGACAAGGTGAAAATGCACTTTGCAGCGAAGTGTTAGTTTCCATTCCGCTTTCAGTTGTGACAACAGTTCTAATGCAGTGGTTTGCGTTTATGAATAATGGATTAGCTGCACTCTTAGTCGGTGGTAGTACACTAGTAAAATATCTAGTAGCATCTATGTATACACTAGGTACTACAGCATCTTCTTACTAACTTGAGAGGATGCCATACAGTACAGAACCGATCTTAAAAACGCAATACAAACATCACACACATATGTATGGTTGAAGGAAAACATATAATATATCCGAAAAACGAATTTGATAGACAGCTTTTTATGCTTCTTCTTCAGATAGACTTACAAAAAAAATCACTCTAACGTCTAACGTAATGAGTAACTGCAATAATCCGAAGCCGGCCCTGGACGTGAATTGGCAACTTCGGGAAAATTACGATTACAACTAGGTAGCTGCATCAACGGAGAATGTAAACAATGACGGTTGTGTTGCGTAAATGTCAACATCGTACTACTTTACTACTACATATACAGATGGATTACATACATTAATTTAATTAAGCAACTTCTTAGTTCAACGCTAATAGTATGCAGTACTATTATTTAAAGTTCGCCTGGATTGTTAAACATTACCATATAATGCAATAATACTATTCTACACTGACCTATGACACTAACACACTGAGAATGGCTTCGACTAACTACATACACAGATACAAGCCTACAATGTTAAAAGAACAAAGAATTACTCTAGGCTGGCTGTAAAATAAGTATCATCAAACACAGTTAATCTAATCTAACAAATAATAAACAATGCATATGTACCACGGTGTTGCAATGTCGTATTTCTCTGTGTGATCCTACCAGGACCGGACTGACCCTTGATTGTGCTTTCAAATACGTTTTCGTCGAAAACGGTAAATTTTTGGACCACCAAACATTTACCTTGCTTTATGATGCAGTATGACCTCCTGCAAGCTTACTCCTTGTTTCAAAAACACCCCGTGTATCTAATAAACAATTGTGGAATACTTGACTGGCATAAATCAATTCGTTATAGAAAATAGGTCCCTATTTTACCATTTGCTTTTGATGGCATACAAATAGCTATTTAGAGACACGTGTATCGAATACGTAAGTATACGTCGGTCGATACTGATTGTGAGATAGTTAGCGTTTTCCTTTTTAAATAGCTCGCATTCTTGCCGGTAAGATAAACTGCTAATAGAACTTTTGAAAGTTGAGTAATAACATATTTCGGTTTCGACGGCAAACATAATACAAACTGCAGTAAAAAGCAGCGGCTTCGGAAGCTAAATGAGGCGTAATTTGAAATGTGAACTTTCGAGTCGGACTCGATAATGCTCTTTAAAAGAATCGATACCTAGATCAAGTTTTCTTCGTTTTCGGATGGAAAATTGCAACCGGAGCGGACCATAACTTTCCTTAAATCTTCCAAGACGCACCGGGAAAATTTACCGTCTACGTAAATAAGTTTTGATACCTTACCCGAGTCAATAATGTAAGGGCCCCAGACAGACGCCACCGTGCCCGTAAACAGGATGAAATATTAAAGCAAACTTCTTGAATAGAATGAAATATAGAGAAATTTAACAACGGAAACTACATTATTCGCATTGTTAAATATCTCAAAGACGTTTGCATGAACCATTTAAAAAAAATTTGAAAATCAAGTTATATACGTAAAACTACTTTGATACATTACGAGTTCGAACGTAAATTGGTCATCAATATAACGAGAGTGGTAACCCCTTCAAACTGCTAGGGGCAGGGGTCAAGTGACACATAAATTTTAAGGTGACAGTGTGACAAAATAATAATTGTGGATTAACAATAAAAATAAACAGTCCTGGAAGAACAAATTGTGTTATTTTTACATTCTCCTTCCTGTCCCCAAGTTACAGAACCCCCCCCCCCTATTGTTATTTCATAATTTATGAACAGTCCCTTATAACAAAATACTGTTGCTCTGAATTTTAGAGCCATTAGAAGACTTTCACTGAAAATGAAAAGTTTACATAGGAGTTTCCTGTTGAATTTCCATATGTAATTCCCTTCGCACATGTCCAAAATTTCCCGTGTTTTTTTAAAGCAAATAGTTAACATTGCGATTTTGCTTCAAAAGGCTTTTATTATTCATAAGCCCGCGTATCATTTACATAGACAGTGGTGCCTTTTATAAAAAGTGTAGCCGAAGCGTAAACCCCAAAAAAACAGAATTACGAAAACTAATTTGAACGCAACGCGAAGCGGCTTTAAATTAAATTTGATACAAAAAATATATCAAACATTAATAAATGATGAAATATATCAAAACATAAGAAAACATAAATTTTTTACTACCTTTTACTAGTGAGAGTTTGACTTCGACTTTCGCAAGTATTCAAATTACGAATGTTTATTGGTGGTTATGTTTGTTTAAAAACCGATTAAACAACTTTTCCGAAAAACATTATTTTATCATACAATCATTTAATTGCGTTAAACTTTTGGAAACCAAGAAAAGAAATCTACTGTTCAAAGAAACATTTATAAATTTCGTTTAGATAAAGTTAATTATACCTTCCATATCAGATAAAGATCAGTGTAAACAGTTGTTTTAAGTGTTGTGTTTGTTAATTTGTATTCATATGTACCTATCATGATTATCGTATAAAGACTCTGTTAAGTCTCTGTTACACAGCGCCCCGAGCGACAATGTCCTGTCGTGTAAAACGGCAATGTCCTAGCAAGTTCTTTTCCGATCATTATCGGTAAATACGGCCCAAAGATATTTACACAAAATCAAACAAAGTATAAAAACTTTTTAACAAAAAAAATAATTAAACCGCCGAATAATCTGAAAAGCTAAAAATAATAAACCTTTATTTTATTAACCTTAATAACTAAGTTCTTCAGCTAATGTAAGTATACGTAAGTAATTTTGAGTCAGCACTAAACAATTAATCAACAAAATTCATTAAATTACCTTAAATTTAAAGAAATAACCATTGCATTGCTAATTTGATTTGCTTATTTCTTTAAATTTAAGGTAATTTAGAGATCTTTGCTTATTGATTGTTATTAAGGTTAATAAAATAAAGGTTTACTATTTTTCGCTTTTCAGTTTTTTCGGCGGCTTAATTTTTTTGTTAAAAAGTTTTTATTTTATAATTTTTTGTGGCTATAATCTACTAATTACTANAATTTACATCATTTATCGCAAATGATCTGCGATAAACTGAGGTCGAAAGTTGATCCTTTTGACTTAGATGTTCTCTACAAGCCCTTGCTAAACAACGTCAAGTACAGTGTTCTACAAACGCAAGTATGTATCATTAAAAATTTATAAAAAGGATATAATTGGTTGCAGTATACACTGTAAACTATAAAACTTTTTGAAAAGAGTATCCCATCTGCAAATTCTATATCATATTAAAATGTACATAATCTGTTAATACCGTTTTATATTAAATGAAGTCAGAAACTTCCAATCTTTCATATTTGTAACTAAAAAAAACAAACACCTAATTTTTGTTTTTATTTTCCAGGTGATTTTTGGATGTTTATTACCAAGTGCCGAACATTTAGCGAACATTGGAACGGGTGAAAAGCGGGAACAAGAAAATGAACCATCGATAATAACATTCAGCGTCCCATCGGGTACTGTATGGTTCCCCTTGTTACCCGTTACAGCGCCCGCACAAAAGGTTCTCGCATCTACCGGTGCACAAACTCAAAAACAGAAAGTAAATGCTACGAAAATAAATCGGTTTTAAGAACCATTGTAATTTTTTATTGTTTTTTTTTAGAGCGTACCTAAACCAAGCAAAATAGATAATAAAAAATCAACTGGTGACGTTGCTGGAATGGTCAGATCAGGAACTGCTGCATTATTTGGTGCAATGGCAAATGAATGGTTCTCGTAGATAACAAACAAACAACAATTACTAATTGTTTTTTTTTTTTTTCTAATGTACCACGGTACTTATTGGACCCATGGTCAGTCCTGCGCCATTTCCATAATCGGATAATTTAAAACGCATCTTATAATTCATTTAAAACACGTCATCATTTCCAAGGTCGTTCGCAGTTTATTACTTCAAATAATTGTTTTGTATAATCTTTAATCTCACATTAGCGTGTTACTGCTTGACCACATATATTTATACAGAAATTTATGAAAAAACACATTGCGTCCATATTTTTCATCATTAAAAAAAACGGTAAGTGAATTTTTTACACCTTTGTATACTTCATAAAGTATAATAACAGGTATCTATATAAATTAAGTGCTTCTTACAAACAAAAATAGATAAATACAGACAGATATTAATTAACTACCTGTCGCGCTTTAGATTAAATCATTTTACAGAAACCCAAACACAGTTACTCTAATAATAATTGTTCAAATCTTTTGAATAAATATTAACTTCCCTTAACTGCTTTAAATTGCATATATTTAACTTTCAATAGATAAACTAATAAAAAAAGTTATCTAATCAATAAAACAGAATAGAATCACATGAATTTTTGTAACTATTTTTCAGTCCTTTTACCATAACAACCACCATTGTTTAATCAAATTTTGATTTCTCGTACATTTTTATTACACATCAAGGCTTTTGCTGGCTGACCAATATGCATAACTTATCTGCTAAAGAATTTTTTATTATCTTGCAAGATAAATAATTGCAAACATTGATTAAACCGATAAATAGATAGATATCGAAACTATTATACGTTGTTACATCCTGCAGGTTTAGTTCAACTAAAATAATTTCCGTGACGTATGCAGATCGAAGAAACCCAAAATGATTTTCCAAGTGATAATTGCGGTGATAGTGGTTTCCGTAACTGTGGTAATTCTGTATCTAAAGTGGTCATTTCGTTACTGGAAGAGCAGAAACGTTTTCACCATTGAGCCGACTCTTCCATTTGGCAATGCGAACGAGACGATAAGTGGAAGACAAAGTCTTGGATTGTCCTTGACAAAACTATACAATTCCGCGAAGGCTAAAGGACTCCGTTATGCCGGATTGTATTTCATCGCCAGTCCCGTATTTCTAGCGATCGATCTAAAATTGTTGCGAAGCATGCTGATAATCGACTTCCATTATTTTACCGACCATACGTTATTTACAAACGAAAAGAACGATCCTTTAAGTGCACACTTATTTACATTGAACGGTGCCAAATGGAAAGCCCTCAGGACTAAACTCACACCACTTTTTACCAGCGGAAAATTAAAAATGATGTTCCAAACGTTAGTCGATTGTACTAACAATTTTCCTTACGTTTTGGACGAGGCTATAAAACGAAACGAACCTTTCGATATTAAAGACACCTTCGCAAGATACACAACAGATGTCATAGGATCTGTCGCATTTGGGATAGACTGTAACTGTCTTAAAGACCCCAACACAGAATTCAGAGCGATTGGTAAGAAAACAGTTGAGGTCGGTATCAAAGAGAGCTTGGTGCAAGCTGCATTTGTGGCAAGTCCAAAAATAGTAGACCTTTTCAAACTCAAAATCACCAACAGCGAAGTGGAAACGTTTATTATGAACATCGTCAGAGAAACAATTGAATATAGGGAGAAAAATAACTTTGCGAGAAACGATTTCATGCAACTTTTGATGAACTTGAGACATCAAGAAATTAAACTCAATTCGTCCACCGAGACTGACGATTCTGTCGATCAACTTGCTTATTATCAAAATGGATTAACTCTAGAAGAGGTTGCAGCTCAAGCGTTCGTATTTTTCGTCGCCGGTTTTGAAACATCTTCCACAACTCTAAACTTTTTAATGTACGAACTCGTTCAAAATTTAGACATTCAGGAGAAATTGCGGGAAGAAATCAAAACAGTTTTGAAACGCTACGAGGGAAAAATAACGTACGAAGCTATACAAGAAATGACTTACATGGAGAAAATTGTTAATGGTACATTACGGTATCTACCTCATTTTTATTAGTCATTCTGAGACAGAAAAGAAATATTACACTAACATATGTCTGACCTTGGAAATTGGATAATTCCACGAGATCCAATATCTGGTTGGATCTCTTGGAAATATTCGAGATTAAGGTCCTTCATAATTAATAAAAACAAACGAATAAACACAAAATTTTGCTAACACCCCATGAATTGACCAAGTATTGAAAATTTTATGATCTTCTATTTAATTTGTAAAAGCTCTTGAAATAAGCTGTCCAGAATATAGTCACCCCAAAGTAATATTTAGTTTTTAATTCATTACATTTCATTTTAACGTTTGTATCTATCAGAAACACTAAGAAAATACCCTCCCCTGCCTACAACCACCAGAGTTTGCACAAAAGATTACAAAATACCTGATTCCGACGTGGTCATTCAAAAAGGCACATTAGTTCTGGTTCCCATCTACGCCATTCAACATGACCCGGAATATTATCCAGACCCGGAAAAATTCGATCCTGAACGATTTTCCGAAGAGAATAAAAATAAGCGACCACCTCTAACGTTTCTACCTTTCGGAGAAGGTCCTAGAATATGTATTGGTAAATAAGTATAAATTTTTCATCTTTATTTTTAGTATTATTCAAAAAAAAATTGTACGTGTAAGAGTAAGAGCGAATTTTGTACTTGTTTCAGGGTTAAGAATGGGCGTATTACAGATCAAAGTTGGTTTAACAGCCCTTCTTCGGGATTACAAATTTACCCTTAACTCCAAGACCAAAGTGCCCTTGCAGTTTAATGGGAGACAGTTTGTTTTAACCGTGGACGGTGGGGTATGGATAGAAGCCCAAAAAATCTAGTTTATCTACCTAATATATTAAACATCCAAAACTTTGATAGATATATTTTGAACTTCGACCTTATTGGTTAATTTTTGAAGTAAAATATTAAACAAGTGGCGGTCAATGATTTCGACCGTTTTGACGCAATTTCAACTTTGGATTGTTTATATACTTGACTGGACAAATAGTGAAATATATTATTTTTTGTTTTCTACCAAAACCAATTGATTAATTTGCAGTTAGGAACCTAGATTCCGTTTCATCTCCAGTTTTGAGTGTAACGTATGCAAATGTGTAACCATCATAATGTACAATAGATGTAATACCTAATCAAATCTTTATTTTCTATTCTACTTTATTAATATTATAAATTATAAAATAGAAATTTGATACATTTGTTGTGATTCAATTTTTTTCACAGGCCTTCATGAAATTTTGTGTACACATCTTCATGTGTACAAAAAAGAACAGAGGGTATCTTATCCAGAAAAAATATTGTTCTTAACGGATAGAAAAAATAATTTTATGTGATTTTCGATGATCTAGTGTTTCTATAAAAATGTTAGCCCAAGCTCATTGATTAAAAAATTTATATACCTCAGCTAAATATAAAAAACCACGACTTGTGTTGGTTGCGATGATAGGTATGTACGGCAAACTGGCAGTACTTTTCATACCAGACTGAAAGAACATAAAAAACATATCACTCATATCAAGTCACCTAATATCACAAATGAATACATTATATATACAAGCATATATATATACAACCTGAATTGATAGGTCCTAGAACGGCTTGAGGTTTTAGTCGGTAGGCCTGAGGACACCTTCCTCGGGAATCCGACACTACCCAGCCATACGGATGGCTTTTGAAGATTTCCCCTCTTCCACGAAAAAAAAAAATTTAAGACGTAAAATTTTGAATTAATAATAATTAAATTTCCCTCTATTTTAATTTTATGTTAATTACTTTTCGTCTCAAAAACGAATGTAGATGCCTATTATATATCAATTCGTGTTTATAAAATAATGTTTCGTTTAATTATTCACAAATATATGGAAAAAAAATTAAATAATTAAAATACCCAAAATAGAAATTTGAACTCCGCAAGAGGTCTGGGCGCCAAGTGCCTGGCAACTGACTTCTAATTTGCAATTTATCTCGAACTGGTTTACACAGCACTCCAGGTTTGTAAAAAAATGAAAACATTCGTTAATCAACAAAAATATCTATCAGTTAATGACATGCAGTGTGATTAAGTATATATAGCCCGACAGTCTTTAAATAGCCATTAAACCCTACGAAAGCGAACAGTAAGGTTTAAAAATCGGCTTGATAAAAGTAGTGTCCGATAAAATATTTTTATTAACAATTTAAATTAAAGACAAAATAAAAAAGTAAAAATGATAATTAAAGTACTGATATCAGTAGTGTTAGTGTTTTCAACAATAATTGTTTTATACTTAAAATGGACCTTTCGTTACTGGAAAAGCAGGAATGTGTACGTTCCGGAACCAAGCCTTCCGTTTGGAAATGTGAACAACTTTATGGCAGGCAAAGAAAGCTTTGGAGACCTAGTGACTAATTTCTACAACACCCTTAGAGCAAAAGGACTCCCCTATGGCGGTTACTGTTTCGCTTTTAAACCGATTTTTGTACCGGCTGATAACAATTTAGTGCAGCACATTCTTACAACGGATTTCCAGCATTTTACCGATCACGACCCGTTCGTGGAAGATGCAAACAATCCCCTTAATGCACATTTATTTGCATTAACTGGAGCCAAGTGGAAAGCACTCAGAACCAAACTTCGGCCACTTTTTACTAGTGGAAAATTGAAGGTGATGTTTCCAACTTTAGTGGATTGTACTAATAATTTTTCATACGTTCTGGACGAAGCCATTAAACGAAAAGAGCCACTGGATATCAAAGAAACATTTGCGAGATATACAATAGATGTCATAGGATCTGTCGCGTTTGGGATAGACTGTAACTGCCTCAGGAACCCAAACACAGAGTTCACAACGTACGGTAAAAAAATATTCGACACTGGATTGAGAGATTCCATTATTGAGTTAATTAAAGTTATTAACCCCACGCTGATAAAACTATTGCGATTGGACGTTTTCCCAGCCGGAGTGCAAAATTTCTTTGTAAATATCGTAAAAGAAACGATTGATTACAGAGATAAAAACAATTATTCAAGAAACGATTTCATGCAACTCTTAATGAAGTTGCGAAATCAAGAACTCAAAGTAGACTCATCGATTGAAAAAGAGGAAACTAATGAGCATGTCGCATTCTATCAAAACGGATTAACACTGGAAGACGTTGCTGCACAGGCTTTTGTTTTCTTTGCAGCTGGCTTCGAAACCTCCTCCACTACTTTAAACTTTTTGATGTACGAAATTGTTCAAAACTTAGATATACAAGAAAAACTGAGAGAAGAAATCAAAACGGTTTTGAAAGCTCATGATGGTAAAATAACGTACGAAGCCATACAGGAAATGACTTACATGGACAAATGTGTTAACGGTAAGAAAACTATTCGTATGCTTACAATTTAAAAGAGAAAAGGGTAAAACTTTTTCCTAGAATTGGTTAATGCACCCAATTATAAGAAACATACACGACATAATCTGGGAAAAGTTTTTTAAATAATTTATTTTTGTGGATAATTTTACTTCCACTTTTACTACTTTAAGTACAATAGATTATGTCTATTTAACGTAGGATTAAGCTGCTGTAATTCTTCATCACAATATCATAACTTAACCCAACCATACTCGGAAAAAACTAAATTTTTATGACAACTCAAAAAATACAATCTTCGATTGTAAATAACTGAATTTGATGTTAAAATAGTAGACTTTATTAGATAAATTGTAATAATCTCAATTTTGACATGTTTCTNTTTTATTTTTTTTGCAGCTGGCTTTGAAACCTCCGCCACTACATTAAATTTTTTGATGTACGAAATTGTCCGAAACTTAGATATACAAGAAAAACTAAGAGAAGAAATCAAAACGGTTTTGAAAGCTCATGATGGTAAAATAACGTACGAAGCCATACAGGAAATGACTTACATGGACAAATGTGTAAACGGTAAGAAAACTATTCGTATGCTTACTATTTAAAAGACAAAAGTGTAAAACTTCCCTACCACGACTTTTTCGAAAACTTTTAAACCTTTTAAAGGATAAGTACGAGACATTTAGAACAATTAGCTTAACTTCCTATGCGTCAACTTAACTAGAATTATTAGAGGAGGATGGAAAAAAGGGCGGTAGGACTATTAGGGGAAGATCAATTTGGGTTTAGAAGAAATAGACGAACGCAGGAGGCCATTGTAGCTTTACGGGTAATAATAGAGAAAACGATAGAAAAAAGAAAGAGGGCGTACATAATATTTGTAGATTTAGAGATAACTTTTGACAATGTTAAATAGGACAAGATGTTAAATTTACTTAAAAATGTAGGGATGAGTTACAAAAATAGAAGAGTGATACTTATTTTGTATAAAGAGCAATAGCCAGTTCTAGAGCTGGGGCTGCAACGTGAAGAAGTAAATATTACGAAATATTAGACAGGGATGCACACTGTCACCGGTACTTTTTAATCTATACATCGAAGACGCGATCAACATCATTAAAGACAGTACAACTGTAGGGATAGATATACAGGGGCAATAGATTAGTATGCTTAGATTTACAGATGGTATAGTAGTGTTAGCATCTAGCAAGGAGGAGTTAGAGATAGCTTTAAATATAATGGAAGCGATACTGACAAAACAGTAATGTATGATATACAAGGGAAGAAAAAGTAGGGAAGGAGCAAATATAGAGATAGGAGACGAAAAATTAGAACAAGTGGCTGATTTTAGGTATCTAGGAAGTCAGATAAGTCAGGACTGAAGAAGTAGTAGGGGTATAAAGCAGAGGATAGCGCACGGTCGAGTCGCCTTCAATAAAAAGAAGTCACTTCTATGCTCGCGAACGGTTAATTTAGAAATTCGAATAAGGTTGTTAAAGGTGTATGTTTGGAGCGCGGCGCTGTATGGGTGCGAAACATGGACAGGGGCGCGACGGAAAAGAAAAAGTCAGAAGCATTTGAAATGTGGTGTTACAGGCGAATGATAAGGATACCGTGGATAGAGAAAGTTAAAAATGAAGAGGTATTAGAAAAAATAGGAGAACAGAAGACTCTATAGAAGTCAATAAGAAATAGGCGAAATGGGCTGGTAGGACACCTTCTCAGGCATCAAGGTCTAGTCAGAGACATATTAGAGACAGAAACGGGAGTTAGGAGGGGGTAGAGGGAGACCTAGATTAGATAACTGTTCGCAAATAGTTCAGGATGTGGGTTGTTTTAGTTTAAGGGAAATGCGAAGATTAGCTCAGGATAGGAAGTAGTGGAGGTACGTGTCCAACCAGTCGTAGGACTGACAAACTTATGATGACGAACATTTTTTCTGGAAATGACTTAAAACGTCCCATACAATAATAATTTTAAAGCATTATTTTAATCACATTCCCCGCGTTTTTTTAATGTACATTTTTTGTAGTTAGTTGTAGAGTTATCTTTTGCCATTTCCAAGAAAAAGTTAAGTTTTGAAATTTCTGTAGATACGAACATAATAATTACGTGTTTATTTAAACAGTGTTTTCGATTGACAATTACCATTGACAGTTGCATGCTGGACTCGAGTTTCTTCCCATGGTAAAACCTTCTGCTTTTTACAGAAACATTGAGAAAGTACCCTCCTCTTCCGGTGCTACCAAGGCTGTGTACAAAAGATTACAAAGTGCCAAACTCTGATTTAATTATCGAAAAGGGCATTCGACTGTCGATTTCCGTTTATGGAATCCACCACGACCCTGAATATTACCCAAACCCGGAAAAATTCGACCCCGAAAGATTTTCCGAAGAGAATAAAAACAAACGACCTCCTGTAACGTTTCTTCCTTTTGGAGAAGGTCCCAGGATATGCATTGGTATGTATATTATGACGTAAACCGAATAAGTAATGTGTCTGATGTTGCAAATAATCCATATCATTGTCTTCCAGGTTTGCGTATGGGCATATTACAAACAAAAGTTGGCTTAACTGCTCTTTTAAGAGACTACAAGTTTAATCTCAATTCCAAAACTCAAGTACCATTGGAATTTATTGCTAGGCAAATTATTCTAGCAGCAAAAGGAGGCATCTGGATAGAAGCTCACAAAGTTTAAATATGCAATATATAATTTTTTAAAATTGTTAGACTTATGTATACCGTATACCAATGTACAAATCTTACTACTGAAAATGAGTTAGAAATAAAATGCCACCATCATCAATCGCAGTAAGGAGGGCGCGCCTACAACGATTACCTAATAATATTGGATTATTTTCAAGTACCTACAGCCGGTCTACCGCCACCTACTGGATATTTGCTGCTACTAAAGTATTTCATGCGTTACACAAGACCTTACTACGGTATCAACTTGTCTAATTGAATCTAATACAATTTGCATACGTAATAAACACGCCAACCATAGTAATAAGAATATAACTTTTTAGTCAGAGTATATGAAGCGGTAATAAAATCGAAATCACGATCCGCTTCTGTCGGTTTTGATAAATTTTTGACCAAAAACTTAATAAATGCTCTTTCTAGTTAAATATGTTGGACGATTTATTGCGTAATAATTAACATCAATTTTATATAATGTTTGATAGGTGGTACTAGCAAAACTTTTAACGACAAAAATGTATTTTGCTTTTTACAAATAGAAAATACGTTTGGAGAAGTGTTTTAAATAAAATACAAAATGCTTTTCTCAAAAAAGTATTTAAATGCAAGATGAAAATAGGTATTTTTTATTTTGTATTTGCATTATAAATGCAAGTATTTCAAATAAATCACATCTCTGCTTATAAAGAATAGAGAGAATGCAACTGCAAGTTCAAACTAGTTAGTTAATTAGTGCAATAGCACATCATTACAAAGCTCACAGATGAGATAAGAGAGTATAAAACACATTATTTAAAAATTTCAACTTGGCGTTTATTTAACGTTAAAGATGGACAAGTTTCTTCTTAACTCTGTGCAACAAGTGTATTTCCAAGCCAATCTGCAAATTATCTCGAACTTGTTTACGCAGCAGTCTAGGTTAGCAAAACATGACAACTTGCGTTTTTCAACAAAAATAGTAATCAACTTATGACAAGTAATATGTTTAAGTATACATATGTATATAATCCATCAGTCATTAAATAGCAGCAAAATACAACGAAGGCGAACATTAAAGTTTAAAGTGTGATATAAGTAGCGTCGAATAAAACTATCTTTATTAACATTATAAATTAAAAATACAACAGAAGTGAGAATGATATTCGAAGTACTAATATCACTAGTGTTAGTGTTTTTAACAGTAATTATTTTATACCTAAAATGGACCTTTCGTTACTGGAAAAGCAGGCAAGTGTACGTTCCCGAACCAAGTCTTCCGTTTGGAAACATAAACGACCTTATGACAGGAAAAGAAAGTTTTGGAGGTTTAGTAACCAACGTTTACAACACCCTTAGAGCAAAAGGACTCCCCTATGGTGGTTACTATTTCGCTTTTAAACCGGTTTTCGTACCGGCTGATAACAATTTGGTGAAGCACATTCTTACAACGGATTTCCAGCATTTTACCGATCACGAACCGTTCTTGGAAGATGCAAACAACCCCCTTAATGCACATTTATTTGCATTAACTGGAGCCAAGTGGAAGGCACTCAGAACCAAACTGACGCCACTTTTTACCAGCGGAAAATTAAAGATGATGTTTCCAACTTTGGTCAGTTGTACTGACAGCTTTCCATATTTTCTGGACGAAGCCATAAAACGAGGAGAACCTTTCGATATCAAAGAAATTTTCGGAAGGTACACAACTGATGTCATAGGATCTGTCGCGTTTGGGATAGACTGCAACTGTTTCAAGAACCCAAACACGGAGTTCAGAACGTACGGTAAAAAAATATTCGACACTGGATTGAGAGATACAATTATTGAGTTACTTAAAGTTATTAACCCCACGCTGATAAAACTATTGCGATTGGACGTTTTCCCAGCCGGAGTGCAAAATTTCTTTGTAAATATCGTAAAAGAAACGATTGATTACAGAGATAAAAACAATTATTCAAGAAACGATTTCATGCAACTCTTAATGAAGTTGCGAAATCAAGAACTCAAAGTAGACTCATCGATTGAAAAAGAGGAAACTAATGAGCATGTCGCATTCTATCAAAACGGATTAACACTGGAAGACGTTGCTGCACAGGCTTTTGTTTTCTTTGCAGCTGGCTTCGAAACCTCCTCCACTACTTTAAACTTTTTGATGTACGAAATTGTTCAAAACTTAGATATACAAGAAAAACTGAGAGAAGAAATCAAAACGGTTTTGAAAGCTCATGATGGTAAAATAACGTACGAAGCCATACAGGAAATGACTTACATGGACAAATGTGTTAACGGTAAGAAAACTATTCGTATGCTTACTATTTAAAAGACAAAAGTGTAAAACTTCCCTACCACGACTTTTTCGAAAACTTTTAAACCTTTTAAAGGATAAGTACGAGACATTTAGAACAATTAGCTTAACTTCCTATGCGTCAACTNTCTGGGAAAAGTTTTTTAAATAATTTATTTTTGTGGATAATTTTACTTCCACTTTTACTACTTTAAGTACAATAGATTATGTCTATTTAACGTAGGATTAAGCTGCTGTAATTCTTCATCACAATATCATAACTTAACCCAACCATACTCGGAAAAAACTAAATTTTTATGACAACTCAAAAAATACAATCTTCGATTGTAAATAACTGAATTTGATGTTAAAATAGTAGACTTTATTAGATAAATTGTAATAATCTCAATTTTGACATGTTTCTTTAAAAATTATGTCAAGTTTCTTAATTATTACAATTAAATTTGTAATATCAATTAAAATACCTAGGAAATTTATTTCTGCTGGGATTTTATTTTTGCAGATTCGGATCCAAATTGTAATTTTTATTATTTTCGCTTACGAAGCAACGGGCTTGTGAGATATATTGTAAATATCTCTTTAATATTTAGATACATTTTCATTTTTTATTTTCTCCGTCTAGCCTTCTTCAGTTATTTAGCAAGAAAAAATTATTCTACTTTCTCTCCGGGTTTTTCGTGTTACTTTTTTCGTGAAAACAATTGTTTTCAAAATTATTTAGTTACATAGTGCGCACACAACTTCCGTTGCATGCTAAAACTTTCTGCTTTTTACAGAAACATTAAGAAAGTACCCTCCTGTTCCATTACTACCAAGGTTGTGTACAAAAGATTACAAAGTTCAAAATTCTGACGTAATTATCGAAAAAGGAATTCTACTCTCGATTCCTGTTTACGGAATCCATCACGACCCTGAATACTACCCAAACCCGGAAAAATTCGACCCCGAAAGGTTTTCCGAAGAGAATAAAAACAAACGACCTCCTCTAACGTTCCTACCTTTCGGAGAAGGTCCCAGGATATGCATTGGTACAGACGTTACAACCCAAAAGCACGATATATGTACTACAACATACATTCCTATGTTTCAGGTTTACGTATGGGCGTATTGCAAACGAAAGTTGGCTTAACTGCTCTTTTAAGAGATTACAAGTTCACTCTCAATTCCAAAACTCAAGTGCCACTGGAATTTATTCCTAGACAATTTATCCTATCAGTAAAGGGAGGCGTGTGGATAGAAGCTCACAAAGTTTAAACCTTCAATATATATTTTTTAAAGTTATCATACGAAAGGGTGGTTGTTCGTATTGTTAATTCACTCTTACGCATACACTATATAATTAAATACATATAATATCCATGTACATATAGTGTGTCGCCATCTAGTGGGTATTTGCTGCTACTAAAGTATTTCATGCGTTTGACAGACACTCATCCCATAATTATAACAACATTTATTAAGTTCTTGGCCCAAATTCGGATTGCGATTTGGATCTTATTTAATCTCATCAACGGGTTTTAGGTAGTGTTGGCAAGTTACTGGCAGATGAAATCCATAGCAGACTAATTACATCAAAAACTTATAAAAACATACGAAAATATCTTTTAGGAACGCGAGAATAATTATTTTGTACAATTTAATATCTACCTAGATGTCTATTAATAGTAATAAAAAGTTAATTGTTTTATCGGTTTCCATTTTATTTTAGTCCTGTTCTTGTCTTTAAAATATCACGAAACAGATATACATTTTAAATCAATATAGTTATCAAATGTTTAAATAGCTTTGCCTCAATAATAAGTATTTCTTGTAATTTTTACATTTATAAATAAATATGTCATTAATTAATATCCCAGCAAGATAATTTTGCGAAAACTCGAACTTGTTTACCGCGTCGTCTGACTAAAAATAGTTACGCGGAAAGCATCCGACAAAAATAATAATACGCATTATGCAATTAAGTGATTCAATAAAATGAAGGTTAAAAAGTTGCTCCTACACGAATGCACGGTCAGTACATACGTGATATTTGATTCTCTAGCAGTGAAACAATATTAAAGTGAACTTTTTTGTATTAATAGCAACATAAATAAAAATATAAGAAAAGTCTCACCATGATATTTGAAATACTAATATCGTTAGTATTAGTTTTATCAACAATAATTATCCTATACCTGAAATGGACTTTTCGTTATTGGAAAAGCAGGAACGTGTACGTTCCTGACCCAAGTCTTCCATTTGGAAATGTAAAGCGCGTATTATTTGGAAAGGAAAATTTTGGTTTATTAGTTGCAAATATTTACAACACCGCTAAAGCAAAGGAGCTACCCTACGGTGGTCTCTATTTTGTTTTTAAACCCGTTTTTGTACCGGTTGACAACAAATTGTTAAAACATATTCTCATAACGGATTTTCAACACTTTACCGATCGTTTACCCTTCGTAGAAAATGAATACGACCCTCTCAATGCTACTTTATTTTCGTTAACGGGAGCCAAGTGGAAAGCGCTCAGAACCAAACTTACCCCACTTTTCACTACTGGAAAATTGAAGATGATATTTCAAACTTTGGTGGATTGTACTAACAATCTTCCTCATGTTTTGGACGACAGTATCAAACAAAAACAACCGTTGGATATGAAAGAAATTTCAGCGAGGTATACAACAGATGTCTTAGGATCCGTCGCTTTCGGGATAGACTGTAACTGTCTCAAAAACCCGAACACTGAGTTCAGAATTTACGGAAAAAAGGTGTTTGAGACAGGAATTAGAGAAGTCGTGGTTCCATTAGTAAGCGTCGTCAGTCCCACGCTTATGAAATTATTAAGACTACAAATAACAAAGGTCGACGTCGAAAAGTTCTTCATGAAAATCGTGAGAGAAACGATTGATTACAGAGATAACAGTAATTGTTCAAGAAACGATTTCATGCAATTGTTAATGGATTTGAGAAATCAGGAACTCAAAGTGAACTCGTCAATAATTGAAAATGAGCAGAATGTTTTCTATCAAAATGGACTGTCGTTGGAAGAAATTGCGGCGCAGGCATATGTTTTCTTCGCAGCAGGGTTCGAAAGTTCCTCCTCAACTTTAAACTTTTTAATGTACGAGATTGTTCAAAATTTAGACATACAACAAAAGCTGAGGGAAGAAGTCCAGAGAGTTTTAAAAACCCATGGAAATAAAATAACATATGACGCCATTCAGGAAATGACCTACATGGACAAATGTGTTAACGGTAAATCCTTACGACTATAATTAATAATCATCATCGTTGTCAGTCCTAAGACTGGTAGGACACGCACCTCCACTCTTTCCTATTCTGAGCTAATCTTCGTATTTCCCCAAAACCAGAATAGCCCACATCCTTAACTATTTGCGAAGAGTAATCTAATCTAGGTCTACCTCTACCCCTCCTAACTCCTGTTTCTGCCTCTAATATGTCTCTGACTAGACCTTCATGCCTGAGAAGGTGTCCTACCAACCTATCTCGCCTATTTTTTATTGACTTCCATAGAGTCCTCTGTTCTCCTATTCTTTCTAATACCTCTTCATTTCTAACCTTCTCTATCCACGGTATCCTCATCATTCGCCTGTAACACCACATTTCGAACGCTTCTAACCTTTCCTTTTCCGCCGCGGCCACCGTTCATATTTCGCACCCGTACAGCGCCGCGCTCCTAACATACACGTTAACAGTCTTTTTCAAATGTCTAGATTAATCGTTCGCAAGCATAGAAGTGACTTCTTTTTATTGAAGACGACACGACCCTGCGCTATCCTCTACTTTATATTCCTCCTACTCCTTCCGTCCTGACTTATCTGATTTCCTAAAATCGGCTACTTCTTTTAATTTTTCATCTCCTATCTTTATATTCGCACTTTCCTTACTTTTTCTCCCCTTGCATACCAGAATTTTTGTTTTACTTTTATTTATTTTCATACAGTACTGTTTTGTCAATACCGCTTCCATTTTATTTAAAACCACCTCTATCTCCTTCTTGCTATACGCTAACACTGCTATATCATCTGCAAATCTAAGCATACTAATTTTTTGCCCCTATATATCTATTCCTACATTTTTACTGTCTTTAATGATGTTGATCGCGTCTTCGATGTTTAGATTAAAAAGTAGTGCTGACAGTGTGCATCCCTGTCTGACTCCCTTCCTAATATTAATAATAAAAAAGAAATTAATAATCTCATCTTCCAGAAACAATGCGAAAGTATCCTCTTCCGATGATCCCAAGGTTGTGTACAAAAGACTACAAAGTGCCAAACTCTAATTTGATTATTGAAAAAGGAACACCAGTTTCGATTCCTGTTTATGGAATTCATCACGATCCTGAATACTATCCAGACCCAGATAAATTCGATCCCGAAAGGTTTTCCGAAGAAAATAAAAATAAACGGCCCCCCCTAACATTTTTGCCCTTTGGAGAAGGTCCCAGGATATGTATTGGTACAACAAGTAAATCAAACATTATATGCGCAAATACGATAATATTTATTTCAGGTTTACGTTTGGGCATTTTACAAACGAAAGTGGGACTGGCTTGTCTTTTAAGGAACTACAAATTTACTCTAAATCCTAAGACTGTTGTGCCATTGGAATTCCTTGGAGGACAATTTATTTTAGCTTTAAAAGAAAGTGTGTGGATAGATGCTCACAAAGTTTAAATATCCAGTGGTGTAGTTTTAAGACTACAAATACAAAAATAAGTTCTCTAGTTTAGTGCTACTACATTTGAAAATATGTTTCCATACTTCAAGAACATTAAAACTTACACACATATTCAGCTTTATTCTAAAATTTTTGTCTGCAGGTACAACATTTGAACGAACCAAAACGAAAATTACTTATCACACTCTCAATCTCAAAACTCCTGTTCGTTTATTTTCCAAATTAAATAAAAGATGATGTAATTAATACTTTTAATAATGTTTACTGTAAATATTGCAACAGAATGCAATTCCTATTTCACAATGTTTCGCGCAATTGAAGTCAATGCCACAACTGGAAGTTGTTTACGACGTCGTCTGCAATCTGCGCAAAACCTGCTTGTAGAACTGCTCGATTCTGACTTATTTTAACGGAAACAACAATCAACTACTAATGAAGCGAACCTTGCCTGAGTTTGTGCAACTCCCTCTTCAGTCTTTAAATAACGGTAGCATCCAATGAGCGTGATCATTGAAGTTTAAAGATAGTATGACTTAACTTCTAGTACTAAATCGGAACTATTTTAGATAAGTAGTAATAATACAAACAAATAAATTCGGAATGATTTTTGAAGTAGTGATATCACTAGTGTTAGTGTTTTGTACAATAATTATCTTATATTTAAAATGGACCTTTCGTTACTGGAAAAACAGGAACGTCTACGTCCCTTACCCGAGTCTTCCATTTGGAAACGTATACAACATTATAACTGGGCAAGAAAATTTAGGGGATTTAGCCACTAACATTTACAACACCGTTAAAACAAAAAAACTACCCTGTGGTGGTTTTCACTTCGTTTTCAAACCGTTTCTTGTACCGGTAGAGAACAATTTGTTGAGACACATTCTCATTACCGATTTCCAACATTTTACCGATCACCTGGTCTTCGTAGAAGATGAAAACGACCCCCTCAATGCGCATTTGTTTTCGTTAACTGGAGCCAAGTGGAAGGCACTTAGGACCAAACTCACCCCACTTTTTACCACTGGAAGATTGAAGATAATGTTTCAGACTTTAGTGGATTGTACTAATAATTTTCCATACGTTCTGGACGAAGCCATTAAACGAAACGAGCCTTTGGATATCAAAGACACCTTTGCAAGGTATACAACAGATGTCATAGGATCTGTCGCGTTTGGGATAGACTGTAACTGTCTCAAAAACTCGAACATAGACAGTGAATTTCGAACGTATGGTAAAAAGGTGTTCGAAAATGGGTTTAGGGATGTTTTCATACAAACTATTAATGTTGCCAGTCCAAAGCTTATGAAATTCTTGGGGCTCAAAGTTACCAAAAGCGACGTGGAAAGGTTCTTTATGGGCATAGTCAAAGAAACGATCGATTACAGGGACAAAAACAACTATCAAAGAAATGATTTTATGCAGCTTTTAATGGATTTAAGGTATAAAGAAATAAAAGTCGATTCCGCCGTTGATAAAGATAATTCCGAAGTTGCTTATTATCAAAACGGATTAACTTTAGAAGAGATCGCTGCACAAGCGTTCGTCTTCTTCACAGCCGGCTTTGAAACATCCTCTACCACTTTGAATTTTTTGATGTACGAACTCGTTCAAAATTTAAACATACAAGAAAAACTAAGAGAAGAAATTAAAACAGTTTTAAAAGCTCATGGTGGTAAAATAACATACGAGGCAATACAAGAAATGAGTTATTTGGACAAGTGCATTAACGGCAAGTATTCGAAAATAAAAAAAATAACAAATCCGTTTTACGTTTTTTGTTTTGTGTAGAAACATTACGGAAATATCCTCCACTTCCTATAATCCCTAGAGTGTGTACAAAAGATTATAAAGTACCTGGTACCAATTTGACAATTGAAAAAGGAACGGGGCTATTGATTCCCGTCTACGCAATACATCACGATCCTGAATACTACCCGTATCCAGACAAATTCGATCCTGAACGATTTTCAGAAGAAGTTAAACAAAAACGGCCTCATTTGACGTTTATACCGTTCGGAGAAGGTCCTAGAATTTGCATTGGTACGTAATAAATAAAAAAATAATAATTCAATAAAATTACTGTATGCTATAAATAAATATATGTATTAGTTTGTATAAAGAGCAACAGGCAGTTATAGAGCTGGGACTGCAACGTACAGACATAAATATTAGGAAAGGAGTCAGACTGTCACCGCCAGGGCCGTAGCGAGGCCGGTTGAAGCTGTGCGGCGCACCGGGGCCCCCGCAGTCGAGGGGCCCTTTAGCAGTTTTCTGTTTTCAAAAAATGACTTCTAAAAAAAACTATGCTGTTAGAGATGAGCTGAGTCAAACTACGAAATGAACATCATAATTTTTTATTTTACTTTTTTCTATATCAATTTTTGTCACAATACTCCATATATTTGATCAGATACGTAGTTACATGGAATGCATACATCTCGAAATCGCGAATACTTCTACATACATGGTTTCCTTAAATCCGTTGATATAATTATCATTGCTACCATAAAAAATTACTAATTGCTGACCATAAATCTATATCACCCGAAACATCACTATAGAATTCATTGCACAAACATCAAGTGCCTGCTCTTATTTCTAAAACGTTTTTTTTTCTCGATTTGATAGCAGCAAAATCATCAATAGTTTTATCGACATTTTTTTTAATGACATTTTTCTGATCAACAATTTTAAGAAGGGCCCCTTGCGGAATACTGCACCGGGGCCCCGAGCTCATCGCTACGGCCCTGGTCACCGCTACTTTTTAATCTATACATCGATGACGTGAACAACATCATTAAAGACAATACAACTGTAGGGATAGTTATACAGGAGCAAAATATCAGTATGCTTAGATTTGCAGATGATATAGCAGTATTAGCTTTAAATAAAATGGAAGCGGTATTGACAAAACAGTATTGTATAAATATAAATGAAATTAAAATAAAAATACTGGTGTGCAAGGGAAGAAAAAGTAGGGAAAGAGCGAATATAAAGATAAGAAACGAAGAATTAAAACAAGTGGTCGATTTTAAGTATCTAGGAAGTCAGATAAGTCAGGACCGAAGTAGTAGTAGGAATATAAAGCAGAGGATAGCGGAGGGTCGAGCCGCCACCATTAAAAAGAATTCATTTCTATGCTCGCGAACGATTAATGCTGTACGGGTGGGAAACATGGTCAGTATAGGAGAACAGAGGACTCTACCGAAGTCAATAAGAAGTAGGCGAGATAGGTTAGTAGGACACCTTCTCAGGCTTAAAGGGCTAATCAGAGACATATTAGTGTCAGAAACAGGAGTTAAAAGAGGAGTAGTGATAGACCTAGATTAGATTATTGTTCGCAAATACTTAAGGATGTGAGATGTTCTAGTTTAGGACTGACGACCTTACTGTCTTACTTAAGTCGATAGGACTTCGTTCAGGTTGTATTATGGATGTGTAGAGCATATGTTACGGATATTTTAGTATCGATCGCTGCCAATGATCGATTTTTTCTATTCGATTTAGAGAACTCAATTATATACTTGATCAATGTATTACATAAATATGCACGAATGTACTCGTATTATTTTAATCGAATTATGCCTTAACTATTGTCCCATATAAATGAATGAAAACTAATTTTACAATAAGACTGTTTAAATTTAATTGTCATATCGTTTATTTAGGTTTAAGAATGGGTCTGTTGCAAGCAAAAGTAGGAGTGGCAGCTCTCCTTAAGGATTACAGATTTACTTTAAATTCTAGAACTAATGTGCCACTTGAATTTAAAGGAAGACAAATAGTTTTAACCGTTAAAGGTGGCGTCTGGATTGAAGCACAAAAAATATAAACTTTTACTTAACGATAATTAAGTTATCACAAAAATGTATACAATTCGTAATAAAAAATTGTTTATTGCTTTTTTTTAATATAAGACAATTTGTTATCTAAAATATTAAAAATATTTTGATGATCCCGATAATCTAGTAATTCCCTTACGCAACAAATAATTCACTAATCGTATGTCAATAAATCAAAAAGATATGTCTAAGTTGATGTGCACTGCACTTAACAAAAAGAAAAGACTATTANTCTAAAATATTAAAAATATTTTGATGATCCCGATAATCTAGTAATTCCCTTACGCAACAAATAATTCACTAATCGTATGTCAATAAATCAAAAAGATATGTCTAAGTTGATGTGCACTGCACTTAACAAAAAGAAAAGAATATTATATAGAACTAAAACGTTATGATGTGTAAATTTTGTCAGTGCCCAACAAGGTTCATGAGATTCTCAACCACCTCTACATGACTAATTTCATAAAGTGCTAATCATCGTGCTTGCTAAGCAAATTAATATCCACATGCGTAACCCTACCACTGTTATTTAGCTTTATGGAAAACAATAATAATATAATATAAAGCCAGTGTAAACAGCATTATAATTATACAGTAATAGGCAGCGGTTGAAGACAGATACATATCAGAAAAGTTTCGAAGATGATATTGGAAGTAGTGGTTTCCGTAGTGATAGTTTTAACAACACTAATTATTTTAAATTTAAAATGGTCGTTTAGATTTTGGAAAAACCGAAATGTGTACACTCCGGAGCCGATTGTTCCGTTCGGAAACGTAAAATCCGTGATTTTCGGAAAGGAGAACATTGGAGCTGTTACGACCAAAATTTATAACATTGTTAAAGCAAAAGGACTTCGTTATGGAGGTTTTTATTTCTTCAACAGGCCTATGTTTGTACCTGTTGATCGTACGTTGATACGTCACATTCTCATAACCGATTTTCAACATTTCACTGATCATTCTGGACCCATCGACGACAAAAGAGAACCTCTTGCTGCACATTTGTTTTCATTAACCGGTGCCAAATGGAAAGCCCTCAGGACTAAATTAACGCCCCTTTTCACCAGTGGAAAATTAAAAATGATGTTTCAAACTTTGGTCGATTGTACGAATGACTTCCCTTGCGCTTTGGACAGTGCCATAAAACGTAAGGAACCGTTCGATATTAAAGATACCTTCGCAAGATACACAACGGATGTCATAGGATCGGTCGCGTTTGGGATAGACTGTAACTGTCTGAAGAATCCAAACACAGAATTCAGAGTTTATGGCAGGAAGGTTTTTGAAGTCGGATGGACTGAAAGTGTGATTAATGCTATTAATCTCATCTGTCCCGAGTTAATGGCAATATTTAGATTAAAAGTGACAAAGGTCGACGTCGAAAATTTCTTTATGAACATGGTAAAAGAAACGGTTGACCACAGAGATAAAAATCATTACGAAAGAAACGATTTCATACAACTCCTGATGAACTTGAGAAACAAGGAAATCAAAGTTGAATCGTCCCTCGATGAAAATGGTACCGAGAATCATATCGCTTATTATCAAAACGGATTAACAATTGAGGAAATTGCGGCCCAATCGTTTGTATTTTTCCTGGCCGGCTTTGAAACATCATCCACCACATTAAATTTTTTGATGTACGAAATTGTCTTACATTTGGAAATTCAGGAAAAGCTGAGGGAGGAAGTTGTTACTGTTTTGAAAGCACATGATGGTAAAATAACGTACGAAGCCATACAGGAAATGACCTACATGGACAAATGTATTAATGGTAAATAACATTGCATGATGTAGAAACCTTCCCTTTCCAGAGCAAGTACAGGAACATAATTTTGATTTTTTTTTTTTCTACAGAAACGTTGAGAAAGTATCCACCACTTCCGGTAACTCCAAGGAGATGTACAAAAGATTACAAAGTACCAGATTCTGATTTAGTAATTGAAAAGGGAAGATCAGTTCTGATCCCCATTTACGGGATTCAACACGACCCCGAATACTATCCTGATCCCGAAAAGTTCGACCCCGAAAGATTTTCCGAAGAAAACAAAAATAAACGGCCGCCAGTCACATTCATCCCATTCGGGGAAGGTCCCAGAATATGCATTGGTAAGTTTTGCTTCTTTTCATTATCAGGCTATATTTTTAATTTTCAAAAACATTTTGTTAATTTCTCGTAGGTTTGAGGATGGGTTTATTACAAGCCAAAGTGGGATTAACGGCTCTTCTCAGGGATTACAAATTTACTTTAAATAACAAGACCAAAGTACCACTGCAATTTGCTGGTAGACAATTTATTAGCACAGCAGACGGTGGTGTTTGGATAGAGGCAGAAAAGGTACAATAAACTCAATTTGTTTTTGTGTTTCATTGTGTATTTATGTGTATCTATTATGTTTTTTATGTATGTAGAGATGTAAGGATTTAATTTTTTGTAAATTTATTACGTGGATATAATAAACGTATATTTGAACCACTGATAAGATAATGTCAGGTTGTTCAAAGACTTAATCAGAACTACCATTGTCTATCGTATTTCGTATTCTATCCCTAAAAACCATGTAAATAGTGAACTAGTTTATCTATAAAACTTTCCAAATAGATATTATCATCTTTTTATCTAAATTAAACACCTAAATGGCCACACATGAAATGTTTAGCCGAAAAAAAAAATTATAACAATGAAGATTAAATTAAAAACGAAAATTTACCTAAACATTAACGCGATATTTACAATTTATCCCACCAGCCCGCGAATATAATAAAAATTACAATTTCGACCCGAATTCGTAAAAATAAAATCCCAGCAGAAATAATTTTACTAGGTATTTTAGTTGATATTACAAATTTAATTGTAATAATTAAGAAACTTGAAATAATTTTTAAAGAAACANTGTTTATCGTATGGTTTAAGGAAAAAGTATATCAAAATAATAACAATAAAACTTTTACTGACTCTCTCATCAAACATTAATAATTTCCTAGATTGCTACCTCAACAAAAATTCTTTAAAGTACGCAGTACATAGTCCTCATTGAAAACTACGATGAAAAAATATTACCCTTTATCTCCTAGCACTCATAAAAATTCAATTGAAATATCGAACGGAAAATTGACATAGAAAGTTCTGCACTTCCACAACATAATCCAATCGACAAAGCTGAAAGTTATTCTATGTCGTGCCACATTTCAATATTAAACCATGTGAATCAATAAGTGACAACTATAATAGTTTATTAGCAACCCGAGGAAACAACTTTACGAACAAAATGTGCTCCTAGAACGCGATGTTGTTCGCCTTAGTTTAATGCCAGGTCGTAGACAACTGCTGGGAAGTTATATGCATCCGGGCAACTAAGTGATTGCAATAGGAAATCGTAATCATGAAAATACAATCAGTACGTGGTTACACGATTCTAATATTTAATACGCCAACAACAATATAAATAAATGGAACATTGGATTAAAATACAATCCAAGATCAAGTCGCGTTTTACCATGACCAAGACAGAACGACCAATATCAAGACTAAAACCAAACGAACAGGACCAAAACTAAAATCATCAACGAATGTTCGAGACCAATATCAAATACGCAAGACTAAACGAAAAATTATTACTTCCGGTGGATTAATGAGTTAAACTATTTTTTTTCTTGGAAAAAAGTATTTTTAGTATTTGAAATTTTCGGTTTGCTTTACTAGATTTTAATACTGAATATATAATAAAAGAAATTTTATCAATGTTTTATAAAAAGAATCTACATGAATCTTCTCGGAGTATGTGTTCTTTGTTCCTATGTCAATGGTTAAAATATAGAGACAAAGCAATTTTTTTATTAATTCTTTCAAGTACCTTCTACTATATTTTTCCCTAAAAGGTCAATTTGTGCGTTGAAGAAAGGGTAAGTACTTTGCTGATCACTAGGGACAAGAATTAGAGAAGTCATGGTATCATTAGTAAGCGTTATTAGTGCCGTACGAATGAAATCGTTATTAACACTGAGAATAACAATGATCAATGACTATAACGAATATCATGATTGATTATAGAAATTACATAAAAAATTATTCCATGCAATTGTTAATTGTGTAAAAGTAAAAGTGAACTCGTTAATCATTGAAAAGATTATTCTAATGAAAAAATAGTTTCTGCCAAAATGGACTATTATTATTGAAGGAAATTGCGGCGTAGACGTCTGTCTTCTTCGCAGCTGACTTTGAAATTTCCTCCGCGTTTTACAAGGATAACTCAAATACGAAATCCAAAGAATTGTAAAAAGCTATGAGGGAAACATATTCAGAAGATGTCCTACATACATGGACAATTTCTTACGATAATCCAGAAAAGAGAAATTAGAACACCTATTTTCTAGAAACGTTGCAAAATTACCATCGACTTTTTATAATCCCAAAGTTGTGTACAAAAGATTACAATCAGCTATACTCTCACTTAGTTAATGAAAAGGGTACTCTGGACCGGAGTTCCAACTATGGAACCCAGATAAACTCGATATAGAAAGATTTTCCGAAGATAATAATAACAAACAGCCCCTTCTAACATACATTGGTACATTTTATAATACAAAGATTATAACGTATTTATAATTAATTTAATATTATACTAGCGGTCTGTGCCCGTTTTGGCAGGCGTGACGTCTAGATAGAAGTAGAAAAGGTATAAAATTTTGGCTTAAAATTTGTTTAGTTATCACCAATAAATGCTTGCGTATTACCATTTAAATTAGACAGGTTATTATCTAAACTACTAGACATATTCCTCATTAATTTGGTAATTCCCTTATGTACTTACAAAATAGACAATTCAGTTGAGTGAGAAAAATATATATTAATTCTATTTTTATTGAAACTTAAATATTTTGCATAAACACTTAACAAAACAAATAAACAGATCACTAGTGATCACCGATAAGTGTTCCTTTGAAATAATCAACCATTACTTGCTGAAAAATTTAAATCAACATGGACATATTCTAAAATTTATCGATAATAATTAAGAACCTTTCAATTAACCTGGTCATTCTGATCTAATTGAAATTTTTTCATGTTTTCCTGAAGAATTATTAGATCATCATCATCATCATAAAGTTAATGATTAGGTATCAATTATTTTTAATTTTTTTTTTTTTCGAACATTAACAGGTGATGTAAATTATCACTGTGCCAGTAAGCTGTAGTTGAAGTCAAATTATATACAAAAGATTATAACACTGGCCTAATTATTATGGCAAAGAGTTTCATTAGATGGAACTAAATTACAAATAATTTTATTCATGTAAAATCAACATCAATCATTTTATATCAAAATATTTACAACCCCATTTTGTTTCTAATCTTTTACAGATTGTATAATAAGAGAAAGAAATGGAATCCATATATAGTTTCTTTAGCTTTGGTTTTATCTAATAACTGAAGTTTTTCGAATCGTTTTATAAGAATTTTGAATTTCAGTTTTACACAGCTGGGGTATATCAATTCGATATTGTTTTGAGGGCTGTTTTGTCGTAATTCATAGAATTTCGTAGTTTCTTGCTAAAGGTACGATAAGTGGTGAGTTGGCAGGTATCAATTGAATTTCAAAATTCCATGGACCATGACAATGAACCCGGAAAAATATCGATCTAATATTTTAGAGTATCCTTTTTCAAGGAGTTTAGAATTTCTTATGCTCTTTTCAGCTAAAAAATTGCGAGGCAGTCATGGAATGTCTCTTTGTCGTCTTTTTAAGCTTCTAATACCTTCAAAGGTCAATGCGACCAACTTTCATTCATTATTTTATATAATGTTTGATCGGCGATTGGTACTAGCTAAAATTTTAACGGCAAAAATGTATTTTGCATTTTACAAATAGAAAATACATTTGGAAAAGTATTTTAAATAAAATACAAATTGCTTTTCTCAAAAANATCAAGTCGCGTTTTACCATGACCAAGACAGAACGACCAATATCAAGACTAAAACCAAACGAACAGGACCAAAACTAAAATCATCAACGAATGTTCGAGACCAATATCAAATACGCAAGACTAAACGAAAAATTATTACTTCCGGTGGATTAATGAGTTAAACTATTTTTTTTCTTGGAAAAAAGTATTTTTAGTATTTGAAATTTTCGGTTTGCTTTACTAGATTTTAATACTGAATATATAATAAAAGAAATTTTATCAATGTTTTATAAAAAGAATCTACATGAATCTTCTCGGAGTATGTGTTCTTTGTTCCTATGTCAATGGTTAAAATATAGAGACAAAGCAATTTTTTTATTAATTCTTTCAAGTACCTTCTACTATATTTTTCCCTAAAAGGTCAATTTGTGCGTTGAAGAAAGGGTAAGTACTTTGCTGATCACTAGGGACAAGAATTAGAGAAGTCATGGTATCATTAGTAAGCGTTATTAGTGCCGTACGAATGAAATCGTTATTAACACTGAGAATAACAATGATCAATGACTATAACGAATATCATGATTGATTATAGAAATTACATAAAAAATTATTCCATGCAATTGTTAATTGTGTAAAAGTAAAAGTGAACTCGTTAATCATTGAAAAGATTATTCTAATGAAAAAATAGTTTCTGCCAAAATGGACTATTATTATTGAAGGAAATTGCGGCGTAGACGTCTGTCTTCTTCGCAGCTGACTTTGAAATTTCCTCCGCGTTTTACAAGGATAACTCAAATACGAAATCCAAAGAATTGTAAAAAGCTATGAGGGAAACATATTCAGAAGATGTCCTACATACATGGACAATTTCTTACGATAATCCAGAAAAGAGAAATTAGAACACCTATTTTCTAGAAACGTTGCAAAATTACCATCGACTTTTTATAATCCCAAAGTTGTGTACAAAAGATTACAATCAGCTATACTCTCACTTAGTTAATGAAAAGGGTACTCTGGACCGGAGTTCCAACTATGGAACCCAGATAAACTCGATATAGAAAGATTTTCCGAAGATAATAATAACAAACAGCCCCTTCTAACATACATTGGTACATTTTATAATACAAAGATTATAACGTATTTATAATTAATTTAATATTATACTAGCGGTCTGTGCCCGTTTTGGCAGGCGTGACGTCTAGATAGAAGTAGAAAAGGTATAAAATTTTGGCTTAAAATTTGTTTAGTTATCACCAATAAATGCTTGCGTATTACCATTTAAATTAGACAGGTTATTATCTAAACTACTAGACATATTCCTCATTAATTTGGTAATTCCCTTATGTACTTACAAAATAGACAATTCAGTAAGAAAAACTTTTTTATCTATTACTATACAAAATAGATATTGTTTGTAATGAAATAAGTGATGTTGTTCACATTTTATGTTTGGCGTGTAAGAATTTCTCGAAAAATATCAAAAACTTTGAGCGAAATAAAGATCTGATAAAATCCGAGAATTCAAAATTATTCAACATTGAAAAACATCAAATGATTTCATCAATTGATTCACTTACTTTGTGATTAAAATGCACATAGTTCCATTCTCCAATGCCCATTCTCCATCATTCGCTAATGAACTGGATACTAGATACCATTTCATACTATCCCATAACTTAAAGTAACACTGGAGCACTTTCCCTTACAATTCCCGAACGCACCAACATTTCGCGAACGCATTCCCTATAGGGACTTCAATCGGTCAATCGAATGATCTGTTATTAATAAAAATATCTACTTAATGATGATAAAAATCATAATAATACACAAAAAGATGTTATAAATCGTCTAATAAATTGTGTAAACCAAAACTAAATTGCTTCCGAAGAATGAGTCATCATAAGATAAGTCGACGCTATCAAGAAAATTACGTTTTCAGGTCACACAAAACAACCTAATAAATATATCTAAAGTATTGGGAATTTCTGAATGGATTTAAATGAAAATCGAAGTTAACAAACTTTACTATACCTTAATTAATGGATTTCTGATAACGCCGGCATGTTTTCATGTTAATTTTATACTCACTTTTCTTTGAACATAAATGGAAATTCACACATTATCTATGGTTACATACACAGCACTCTTCTCTCTTCAGAAGACAATGAAATGGTAGGGAGAAATTGAGAGAGGGAGCCAATAAAAAGTCGAAACAAACGATAAGTGTACGATAAAAGAAATAAATTATGTTTAAGAGATTTAATTAGGTCTTAATAGATAAATAGGCGAAAGACAAGCGTCACAACTTACATAAAATACATAATTGCTGCAAAATTAATTGATCACAAAACTTCGTACACCTATTTACTAGTCTTATACGTATCAATTTTTTGTGCAAAAGAAAATATTGATGTGTTTTTTGTTAGGAAATAACTAATAAACATGAACACGAGTTCAATTTTCTTTTTAGTGAACTACTCAGATGTAATATTAATAAAATCAAACGACAAACTTGCTCTTACCTTGGCAAATAAAATAAATTAACATGTACTTCGATTTAAATCTAATATAACAACGCTACAATAATAACAGAAGGTCTATTTACCAAATTTACCATTTTTCGTTTTATAGTTTAAATAAAACCATGTTCGCGGACATTCTGTAATTTTGAATTTAAATTCGAAATATCACGGCTATGTAGATAACCCGTCTTACAGTCAAATTCCGGAATTATCATGACCGCATATAGACCACCCATTTTACAGTAAGTTGCAATCCTAAGTAGGAAAATAAATAATATTGAAAATAGAATAATGAAGCCAAAAGGAATGCGTTTAATAATTTACCTTAGATAAATCTATTTCTAACAATAATATATATTATTTACACATTATTTATTTACTTTTTATCTATGTATATCTTTCTGAAAAACAATTTAAGTGTTGCTACTGCTGTTAATTTTTTAACCATTCAAACATAATTGACGTCCTCTTTAATAAATTTTTAAGATCTATTTTATTAAAATAATCCTTATTATTGAAAAAAAACTACGTCTTCAAAATTCTTATGCATCGAAAAAAAACAGAACTAAATTACGTACAAGTAGCAAACACCAATTTAAAAATACACTAAATAGTAAAACAGATAGTATTTATTGCAAAATGTTTTCGTTTTTTGGTGTTAATTTAACTACAATCAAATTGTAGTACTTCCGCAATTTTGAATTTAAATTCAAAATGCTATAGCCGTATAGTCCACCCATCATACACTTACATAAATGGGAACAAATTAGCAACCTGAAAAAACTAAAACACAATTAAAAATTAAGTATTCAGCAAGAAATTACATTATTGACCTTATATAATAGTTTATTTTGAAATTAGCCTATTATTTACGCTCCTTCGATTTACTTATTTTTGAAGAATAAATATGTTACAGCAATTACAAACATAGTTTGTATATTGCTACTTGCAATTAGTTTATTTTTGTACTTTTTATTTGTTCTCATTCAAATTAAAACAATAATTATTAGAAAGAAACCTTTTATTTAAAAGCCTTATGCATAATGTAGTAAATAAAAACAAATTAAGAAGCTAATTCAGTAGCTAAACCTTTTGCAGTTATATCAGGCAAATTTGTAATTCCATTCTTATCAACAATCTGTACTTTAAAGTTAGGAAGATTAATAATTAATCGTTGATGAACTTCTCTAACACATTTTTTCATAAGTTCATAAGCATCCTCCCGGTTCATGTTGCTTAAATAGTATCTGTCCATAACTGACAGTGAAAAGAAGCCCCCATAGCCATGGGCTGCATACTTAACTTCAGCTATTGAGGCCAAGTAGTCCATAAAATACAGTGCAGGCCCAGTTTGGTCATCATAACCAGCAAGAAGAAGATTGACATGGTATGCATTCTAAACAATGAACCGTAAAGATTGGCAATACTTCTAAATGAATTGTATTATATTGAAACAGTTCACTTACTCTGGTTCTTAATGCTTCTGCCAAATTACGTCTGGTGAAAGTTGCTGCAGCATTTGGACTAAGTTCATAACCATTCCTCATTTTATAAAGCTGAATATTTTTTGCTATGTATTCAGCAAACTGTGTGGTATCTCCTTGTTCTCCGGTAATGGCCATAACCAGCTTATCAGACAACTTGTGTAACTTATTTTCATCTAAAGAACAAATCTTAACCCCTTAACCACGAAATAATTTATATTCTTACCATTTTTCATGACAATAATGCTCTGGGCAGTTGTCATATCTGCAGCAACAATAGCGAAATCTTTAAATTTAATTCCAATAATGCATTCCATTTTAAATTATTATTAAAATTCTCAAATTTAAATATGCCTTGTAATGTTTCCAATTCTTCAAGGTATGTTTAAGGTTATGAACCCATAGATAATTAAATTATGTATCATTGACTAGTAGCATAGATAAAATATAAATTCAATTCTATTATCTTGATTGTGACAAAAGTAACGCCAAATTTTAAAAGCTATTGAAAATATTATTATGTTGAATTATATTCTTTTAATGTTGTACCATAAGTCTCAAAAGACAAATTTTAATAAGAAGAGTAGAATTTCAGAATTATGGGAGAATTATAATAAAATAAATTACTTAATTTCTATTATACATATAGAATTACAACATAACCACAATAAAGTGACAGTAAGTGATAGCTCTGATTTGCGATTTTGGATGTTATTAAATTGCAGCTTATAATGCAGAAATAAACTTTTGATAGAAATACTGATGACGAAGAATCTCATGGATTTAACAGTGGTGCAGAGGTTACCTCTTCAATGGCTATATTTGAACAAGAAACGGCCAAAAAGGTGCTGCTAGATGATACAGAATGTTTGTCCTGTGTTATTGAAAATTGGAGAAACATTAATGGGCATATAGTATTTATTTTTCAATAATTTCTTTGAAATATTTAAATTAAATCATTTGTTTTTAAGGAATACACAATTAGAGTCCAAAGAGGCCCATTTCGTTATAATACTTGGATAGTGAACAAAAGGTACAATGATTTTGTCAATTTGCAGTCTCAGTTACAAATTTCGGGAATTCCCTTGCCTCTACCACCCAAAAAATTTATTGGAAACCTAAATCCTGAATTTGTTTCTGAACGACAAAAAGGGCTGCAGGTATTTCATTTTCAATCCTATATAAATATATAATATTGGATTAATTGACAAATAATTTGCAGAAGTACCTAAACACAATTTTAATGAATCCAATTTTGATGTCATCTCTGCCTGCAAAGGCATTTGTGGATCCAGCTAATTACTGTAGACCATTTGGAGGTAAACAGCCAAATGATAAATGTATTTACATTTTTTATAAAATTTAATTTGTAGAAATTGCTTTGCAACATGTGTCTTTAGCACTAAGAAGTGAAGTAGGCTGGGAAGTAATAGGCCCCTTGGATGATATTGGCTGGAGAATAAGGAAACATTATTATCAAGTAAGAAATAAGAATACACCTAAAAATGAGAAGTTGGCAAGTTGGACTGAGTATGGACCAGATAAATATCTCAGTGAAAAAGATATGCAAGCAGTTTTTAAAAGCTTATCATTGATGCAGGTATAGTTTAATACTCTTATTTTTTATTATTGTCTTTCTATATTGAAGGCTATTATATTGCTTGCAATTTTATGTTTGGTATCAATTGTTTGCTAAAATTTGAAGAAGTGATAGGGAAAATATACCTGCTACCTATGTAAATTGTTTCTTTTTAATTGATTACAGTTTATAATAATATAAAGTTCATAATAAAATCACATATGACTAGTTCAATAACTTAAATACTCTTAATTGAATAGTATTGAAAATCATGTATAATTAAATGTATAAAAGTGTTTTTTCTTGCTCATTGGTAATTATTTGCTTCCAATGTTATATATCATTAACAGAACTATAATTTTTATCACTACCTGATACAGCATCCATTTGTGCAACCAATCGATCTTTGCTTATGCACCGACGTTGGTGGTCTTGTGGTGAGACCATTCTTTAAAGATGGTTCTTTAAGAGACATCCTGTATGACTCAAAACCAAAGCAACCGTTTATGAAAAAATATGGAAACTCAAAGGCTCATAATCACCTGGATAATGCCCAAATTGCACTTTACGGGCGTCAAATACTGGAGGCCATCAAGTTCCTGCATGACAAAGGACTACCGTATGGTAAAAAACAGAATTTTATACTCACATTTCCTATTTTTTACAGTTTCTTGATGTGTAATTTAATTTTAGGTCATTTACATGCCAGTAATATTTTAATAGATGAAGGCAGAGCAAAACTTTTGGATATAGAAAATGGTATACTAGGTGTTCCATCATATTACAGGCCGTATTTTATGCAGCATCGTAAAATTTTTTCGTTGCAATCCATCGACGTATATTGCTTTGGCCACACGCTTTATGAAATGACTTTTGGGGTTCCCTTGCGAGATATCTCCCTCAACGAACTCCCAGGGGAATGTTCACCAGAATTGAGTAAGTTTATTTTTACACAAAATCGTTGGGTGGATTTATTTATTGTTATTAATTATTGTATTTTAGAAAAGGTGTTGGAGTCCATTTTGTCGGCTGAAGCTTGCAAGACGGGTCTTCCGACGATCGAAAATCTTCTTTCTATGCCATTTTTCCAAAAAGTTGCTTTAGTATTCAATTCAGAGGATAAAGCACAACTGAAGATCCCTTCGTCGATTAAGGAACGTTTGAAAAATGTTCAAGCACAAATTGAAGAACGTCTCAAGGACGAGCAGAAGATGATGCGAAGTCAAAAACGCATGTCAAAAGTTCAGGAAATGATGAGCTCCGAAGAGGAGAAGAAAAAGCAGAGGCATAAAAGGGTAAGGAAATTAAAAAGATATTTCTTCGTTAGACCGTTACTGCATGATTTATTAAATAATTTATTTTTCAGAGACAAGAACAGAAATTGCAAAGTCAACGGAGTATACAAGAAAAGGAAAAAGAAAAGGACGACGGGATGAATGGGGAAAGATCAGACAGCGTGAACAGTGCCAGCACTGTTACTTCCGTTGGAACAATCACACCTCCTTCAATGTCAGGTAAAAACGTTTCCTATGTAGGGTCACTAAAGCTTGTCAATCTTCAACAATCTTTTGAAATATCAGATTCCTACAAATCCGTTCTAAACGTAGTAAATAATGTTAATTACCCAATATCAGATGCACCAAACGTTTTGTCGTCTCCTCCGCCCCCCGCACCACCGTTTTCGGCACCAGCCCCACCGCCTCCACCACCCCCACTTTTAAACGGATCGTCGAAACCACCAGACTTGTCCGCGGTCTCGAAAGACCGGTCAGCTCTTCTCGGTGCCATTTGTAACTTCGATAAATCTGCTTTACGTAAAACCAGCAAGAAATCATCTTCCGTTACTTGATAGTTGTCTTTAAAAACAACAACTTATAAATCTGACAGAAATAAATATGTTGTATGAACGGCATTGAACTGTAGAACGGTTTTAATTTTTGAAATTGCAAATGTCCATATCTATAACTTAATTAATTAGTTTGATAATTCACACAATTAGAGAAATCTCTCGATTTAGTGTTAGACACTTTTGAACCAATAAACAGTTCTTAATGCCAAAATACAAAAATAGTTTTTCGCTTTAAAAAAACTACTTACAGTAATTATAAAGTGCATATAAATTACAGTATAGTCGTTTTAAAATTAGAATGTAGGCAATATTAATTATCTTTGCTTGTTCTTAAAATTATTTTTTTTTAGTCGATAATCACCACAAAAAATATAATCATTTTTGATTCATCAAAAGAAAAAGTACGCAGTAAATTGCTTGTTTATAATTGCTTTTGGTATTCATTGGCATTTTCAGTATTTGTTCTCGTTACTTGAATCAAACAATAAAATAAATTTTCAGTGAATTTGCAATATTATAGTGAAATTATGAAATGTGATTCTTGTAAATATTTTTTTAATTGTTGATAATTTTATATTAATTTAATATTATTATAAATTGTTTTTGTTTTAATTCTCAAATAAGTTGACTAATTCGATTCAAGAAATTTAATTTTTAAAATCATATATTTCTTTTTATTTTCCACTTTATGTTCCTATTAAGTTAGTCGTTTTTATTATATATTATTTTACATTCCAATATATATTCAGTGAGACAGTGGAAGTGTATATGAAACTTACAACTACCTCGGAAAGCCTTACATAAAAAATGAGTATCAAGCACAAACAATTGGTTAACAGTTTGTTTAAAAGAAATATATATTTTCATATCATTACTTTAAAACAATAATTGTCTTATTTCAAACAAGAAATGAGAACTATAATCAAAGTACAATAGACATTCATTCGATAGTGTGAAAACCCCGCGTAATGTGAAGGTGCAAATTAATTATATTAATTCGCCATATACCGTGAACAAACTAAACATTCGCTTATAGAAACGAATGTTTACTTGCTTTAAAAATTGATATTTTGCCGTTGCTATTGTACTTGCTGTAAATTCCCGTACTTCGGTACTTCCCCAATCGTATTAGCTGAAGAGCAGTTTTGTGTATTTACTGCTATGTTTTAATAAGTATGTATTAGTATGTATGTTTATTTTCTTAATTATATTGTTCACACTATCGATTGTTTACTATGCTTTGATTTTGTTTAAAATTTCTGGTCGTTTTCGAATTTCCAAAATTAAAGCGTTGTTATGTTTGGTACGTTTTTCTAAACCTTAAGTGTCTATGTCAGAAACTGCCAAAAAGTATCTCTCTAAAAAGGCAATCAACTTGAAAAAAATGTAATTGATATTTCTTACTCTAGAAGCTTGTTGGAATAATTGCTTATCCTTGTTTATTCTATGTGTTTTGCATAATAGCTTTTCAAATACACAATTCGTTACCAAAATATTTGTAAAGTAAGAAAAAGTAATCACTACAGTAGTATTAATAGCAATAGTGGTGAATTTTAAATGTTATTGTACGAGATATAAGTACATATAGCTTAAAATTAATGTCTATTTTTGTAGACTTAATTTTAATTGGTGTTAGTAATTACTGAAATATCATAGTATTGATGTTTTAATATCTGTAAATGTATACTAAAATCTAAACTTTAGGACTTATTCAAATAATATCCAAAGAACCAAACAAAAAAGTATTCAATATATCCTATATGTATTAAATTAAATTCTTGTAATCTAAATTAGTGTTTTAATTATTTCCTAACATATCAAACGTAGATTTAAGTACGATTAAATAATGACATTTATTTATTTTCTAACTTTTCTACAATTAGGAATGAAATTACAATAACTTTACATTTACTGTTGCTGTGCTCGATAATTTTTAATATTTAAAGTGACCCAAGCGGGATAGGCCGATACAGCGACGAAAAATATTATTCCATGGGTAATTTTTGCAGCCATGGACATCCTGTAGTGTGGAGGAGCAGACACTACAGATCCATGTCTTATTTGCGAGCCAATTGCCTTTTGGGGCAAGTTCTTCACAAGTATTCTCATAAAATTCATGTCTAAAAGAGTTTTTTAAATTATCAATATAATTAAAGCAATGATTAATAAAATTAAGTGGAGTTCTGTTGAACTGCACTTAATTTTATTAATCATTGCTTAAATTATCAATATAATTAAAGCAATGATTAATAAAATTAAGTGGAGTTCTGTTGAACTGGAAAAAAAATAGTGAAACCCAAAATACCACAAAAAAAGTCTAATTAACTGAAGATGACAGTTTGGGGGTCGAAACGCGTTTTACGTTTTTTTTTTAAACGACATGTAGAGAAAGCTGTAGTGACCTCATAAGACATAATTAATTAAAGTTATAAAGTGGTCCTTCCAAAATTGGCTACTTAAACAGAATTAATTGTGGCAGTGTATCTTCATCTAAACAATTTATTCACTTAATTTACATAATAGTCATATGAGTTTGATTAAAATAATCCACACATGTAAGGATTATACAGGTTTTAAAAGTGAAATATTTAATAATATACTTATTGTACATTATGTAGAAAAAGATATTTCGAACTTACTTTTTAGTTTCGTGGATATTAATTAACGAAGATCAGCTGAAAAGATAGCAGTAAAGAATATTAGACAGAATACAAAACGAACGGACAGCAAAATAACACCTTTAACTAGGTTTTTAATGCTTACTTACCGATTATCACCACTTATCGGAAATTTGCGGTAGGTAAATAACGCACACAAGAACTCGAATACGGTGATATCTTTCTCAAGGTATGCGATACACGTAAAATATCCAATAAAGTATTATATATTGTATTATCGTCAGTATGATTCCTTATTAGTGAGTGCGAACGCGACGCTATTTTTGTTCCCAGTTAAAATTCTTTTATGAGCTTTATGTGCCCTCCGGAGAAGGACTGTATTTTTTAGTAAGTATTTTTATTTTTTTACGAGTTTTATGCGTTAAACATACGTGATATTTTGCACGTAGAAGAAGATCTATACGCACAGCGCATGTTTCATAAAAATAGAAATCGAATTCAATTTTGACTAACGCACAACTACGCACATCTTCTCTTATCAATTAATTTTATTTCATCTATAATGTAAGTATAATATCATTAATTTATTATTTGAGTCCAGGGTTGTCGAGGAAAAGAGGAAAAAGGGAAAATCGGAACTTTCAATCTATTTTTTTTTTATCAAAAAAATGTTTTGAAAGAAAACATTTCGCATGTTAAATAATTTGACTTTGATTTGCAGTCCGAATTTTCTCAACGGCCCTATTTGTATTCGTATACTTATGAAAATATTACAAATTGTTTTAATTAGTATGCATTATAAGTCCCCTACATTCCGTTAATTGCATTTTTAACAATATTTAGTTTATTAGTATGAGATTTTTTCGGTTACATAAAGTTTTGATGGGGGATTCACATGGGTTGTAAAAATTCTTTAGGCGCACATAGCTGTATTAAAAATTTATCAAGGCTTAATTTGTTACATTGAAAAGGTTTGTTGTATATATATCTACGAAAGTAAAAATAGACTTTATCGATTTTGTATGTTGAATGAACCGAAGATAAGGAATAAAAAATTGAAACCAATTTTCCGAATATTTACCAATTCCGTAATTTGGTAGAATGAATTAATTTATTAAATGTAATTTAATTAAGACCGCTTTTTTCCATCCTTTTGCTACACGCATTACATAAACCTAAACTATCAAGAACTTTCAATTTTAACACCCTGTACTTGTCTAAATTAACAGTTTTATAATATACAGTGCGTTTAAAAAATAAATAGGTAAAAAATATAAATTGACAAAAATTATGCACATCTATTTTAAAAAAATTAATGACGACAAATAACGCATACTAATTAATTTTAAAAATCGTTTATTAGCAATTTAATATAATAGATACGTTATTTTTAGGTGACTACATTGAATATTTACTAATTTATTCTGAACTTTGCGCTCTGTAGTTTTTAATATTAATCAAAACCCAAGTGGGAAATGCAAACCATGCTACACACATAACCAACCCATGAGCTGCTTTTTCTTGAAAGGACATACGATAACTTGGGGGGCCCGAAAGGGCAGACATATTCCTAGTTTGGGTGATTGTCCTCATCTGAGGTGCAAGTCTCATCAACGACTTCATGATTTTCTAGAATGAGTGAATAGTTAAAGGTAATATTTTTTTCAAAACACCACGTAAATATCTTACTTTTTAATAAGAAACTGTGATAAATTGCTTATGAAAAGAAAAACGACCCTTTGTTAGGTAACAACACACCAACGAAGATATAACTTTGTAGATCTATTATCTATGTTGATGATTTTGGTAGCATTGTATGTAACTTTTTCCGGAATATTGCAGTGACACTGCAACAGTGGTCAGGAGTTCCCATTTCTAATTTCGATTTTTAATTTCCAAGATAAACCTGTATAAGTACCGCAAACTTGTTGTTTTTATCCCTGAATACTCTCATTTCATTAATCAGAATTCAAATTAGCAGCATCAGATTATCGTAGTCAACAAAATGTTGGTTGTTTTAAAAAAAAAAGAATGTGTAAATACTTATAACAAAAGTGTTTACATGTTTCCAAATGTCAGATAAATGAAAACTTCAATAAAATTGTCATTTGGACACAATGAATTGTAATAATTTTAGTGCAATTTCTTCAAATTAAACGTATTTTTGATACTTTATCAAAAGTGAGCTTACTCTCAAGAGTTAGAGAGAATGTCGTTGCAAGAGGTAAATAACTTGTGATACTTGTTTAATAAAATTTAAATAAACAAGAACCAAATCATACAAAAAGAAATCGATATCCTGACATTTCCTTAATAGTTAGGCACTTGTTTAGAATCACTGTATTTTCATTAGTTCGTTAATATTACTCTGTTGGCAGCGTTGATATTTCCTGTATCGCAAAACTTTGAAGATCATAACCTTATCATTACATACGTCATCTTATTAATGACCTTTGCAATTTATAATTTAATTTAGTGCAAGCAATTACACAGCATGGCTGGAAAAATTATGGATTTAAAGAATCAACTAGAAGTTTCGTTACGTGATAAATCAAAACCGTGGACTACAGTACTTGATGTTCTTGAAGGAAAGACAGGCGTAGATCGACTTTTCATTTTTATAGGTATTGTTTATTATATCTACATCATATTACTATAAATTTAACTCATTTTATCCAAAGGAAGCGTTACTATCCTGGGATTGTGGCTAGTATTTGGCTATGCAGGGCAGCTGGTGTGTAATACAGTGGTATTTTTATACCCTGCCTATGTCTCTATTAAAGCAATTGAATCCCCCCAAAAAGATGATGACACAATTTTACTGACGTACTGGGTCGTTTATGCACTTTTTTCAGTCATTGAATTTTTTGCTGATCTTATTGTTGGGTGGTTTCCTCTATATTGGCTTGCTAAAGTATGTTAATATCAGGTTAAATATCTTTCTGTTATATGAAAATGGTTTCATTCATATTGCAGTGCATCTTCTTCATTTGGTTGATGTTGCCATCTGATTTTAATGGTTCACTGATAATTTACACGAAATTTATTAGGCCATACTTCTTAAAACACGAAGGTAACATTGATGAAGCGATATCCTCAGGTAAGTTGGAATTTAAAAAGTCTAAATAGGCTGCAGTTTAATGCATTTTTAAAATTGTTTTTTACTTGCCTGACTTTATTTATTCCAGCTTCCAAACTATTAGGAAAAGATAAGTAAACAACTTCTGTAACTACAAGTAAACAGTCCCTCTACAAATTTACAAATTATTATTGATTGTGCTTTAAGTATGCCAGGCTACAAAAAAGACACACTTCCTTCATCTTTACTGCTAAAATTATGTTAAATTTTGAAGATTCATAAAAGAGAAATTATTTTTATAAGAATTATTAGCTTGAATGTTATCATTCCACTTCTAGCTTTGTAAGAAAAATGTGATTCTTTTTAAATTACATGTGATAAGTGTAAATGCCAATTCCCTACAATTAAGTAATTAAACTTTTAAAATGGAAGAACTACAGAAATATTTGAAGTTCGTAATTTTGTTGTTTTTAGAAATAATTTTTTTCAAACCTTAAATTGAAATTATCTAACAAATATTAGTCCTACATAACTTAAATTAATCAAATGACATAATTAGTTATGGTAAAAATTCCAATATAATCAGCAACAGAAAAAATGTTGAATATCAACAGAAATGTAATATAAATTACACAATTTCTGGTTATATTTTTTCATTAATTCATTAAAATAACAGCCGTTTCTTCTTTAGATTTTAAGATTAATGCTATAATTTTACTTGGCTATAGTTCTTCCTTGCTATATTGTAATATCCATAAAATTTTAAGTTTAACAAACTCATGTTATAATTTTTAATTTGCAGGGAATATATTATTTGTACTTAAAATTTTTGTTAACACTTTCTTATTTTATAAAAATAATTTTCTTTTGATGAAATCATTTTCTTGTATTTACAATTATCGTTTTATAACACTACATTTTTCATTAGATATCGAATAAGAATAATATCCATTTTTATATGTAAATATCTCTCTTATAAAGAAATTTAATAATTTTTGATCTTAATAATAATGTATATCCTTTGATTTAACAGGTTGTTAGCACTTTATGCTTTGCTTGCACCTTTTAAAATGTGATGTATTGGAGATTTTTGGAATTGGTTTATTTTCCATGGAAGTATTGTAAATTTTTTGTATTGTTTTCTATGTATAATGAAGTAAAAAAGTGATCATGTTTAAAATATACACAATTTAGAAATTTGGAGTTTTTTTTCTACAGTTGAAGAACAAACAAAAATTTTTTTTACCTCTAAACCAAAATTGAACTGTTAAGGTGAAGAAACTTCCAGTTGATTGTTATTTAATTTAATTTTAATTCTACTCAAAAAAAAAACTAATTTGCAAATAATATAACAAAGAATTACTTGGAAGTTTGACTATCTACATTTTCTGCTTTTTCTTTAGTTTCGACTGAATCATTTAATTTTTCTGCCCTCCTATTTCTCCAGGCTGTCATATAAGATCTTGGGTGAATAGGGAGAAAGCCAGACAATCCTACAATTATATAACTTTCGTTATAAAGGTCTTTGATAAAACTATACAGTTTACCCAAAAGTTCTTGAACTGGTTGAGAAATTGACGCACCATTTCCTATCCAGTGACGTATCCTTTCAAAGTTTAAAGACACTAATTTTTCATTGTACTCATTTGGTATAGGGTCATAACTACCAACTTGTTCAATAACAGGCATAAATTGCTCCTTACGTTGCTAATTAAAAGAGTCATACAGACTTACAGATATGAAAATGATTAAATATTGATTTACCTCAGCAACAACTATATGAAAAAAAGGCCTATTTGTGCACCCTTTCCTTACAAATCTTATAGCCTTTTTGGAAAATTGAGAAAACTGTCCAGTACCACTTCCTGGGGGTAGCATTTTTAAACTGAACTAAAGGTTGTATTTGGTATTTATTTTGGTATTATTTGGAACTGAACAACAAAACACAACGAATTAATTTAATCTATAATGATAAATAATTAAATTGTATTAATATTAAATGGTAATATTTGTAGGTTATAAATTCTTCTACTTCATACTTCAACAAAATTATGCAACCCAATATGCATTGCAGTATTTTATATTTAAACGTAAATATGAAAATATAATTGTTTGTAGATTTTATTAGAAGGTAATTAACTTTAAGTAATAATAATACCTGCGATAAACTTATTATTTATCGTTATCAAAACTGTCATGTAATGATTAATTAACCTACAATTTTACAAAATAAAAGCAAAAATTTTAAGTCCTTAAGTAAAGTGCGCTAAATAAATATGAATATACTTTCAAGTATAACTAATAAATATTATATGCAAAGGAATAATGTAAACTCAAACAAAGAAAATGTTGAAGAAAATGAAAAATTAGATGATTTATCGACAAATAACGCAGTTAACGATAAGTTTGTTCATTTAATATCAGGTTGTTACACCAGGGAATAGTTTTTGTGTTATAATTTAAATATTTCTTTTTCAGCTGCATCTGTTTTTGTATTTATAATATTATTTTACTATTATGCAAGTAAGATAATGAGTATTTTAATTGGAACTTTGTACCCTGTTTATGGATCTATTATTGCACTGGATAGCGAATCTGCTGATAGAACAAGGTGGTTGAAATACTGGATTAGTTATGCCTTTGTTTGTTTTTTGGACCCTTTTTTGGCACTGTTTATTGGTCGGTTTTCCATATACATATATCTGAAGGTAATATTTGTGAAATTTAAAACTTTTTAAAAATCCTTATTATAAACTTTTTTCTTTCAGATATTTTTNCAATATGTATTTTTTTCAAAAAAATAGTAAGACAAAGGGGGTTAAACCATTGAGTATTATAGTAATATGAATAAAACATCAGTGGTTTGAAATTTTTTAAGTATGGCGCCCTGAATCATTTCGGTTTCGGTGTGATCACGTGATTGATAGGATAGTTGATAGTTGCATTATTGTGTATTACGGCTTTTACAGGTATGGTATGGTTAACGTCCTTAGTTTTTTAGTATTTGCCTTTAGTGTTTAATATACATCGCTTGTGCTTAAGGTATTTCTAATTTTTTATTTTGTTAGTTCTTATCACGCGAATTGTCGTAATGCCCACGCTCTGACGTTGTTTTGTATTAATGGCGAATTTACCGATTTTTAGTTTTGCTATATGTCAAAAGACAATTCTTCATTGCTTGAAATGGCGTCCCTCCACATGGCCATTATAAATGTTTCTTACTTGTAAAGATGTATTAATTAATTACATCGTAATAAGTGATTTACTTCATGTGAAAACGTACTTCGACTTTTGGTAAATCTGACACCAGTTAATGTAAAAATTTTCGATTTCTCTTTTGTGTATATCACGTTTGCTAGTTTGCGATTATTTTAAATCATAACGAAGCTCTATTTCTGCTAATAATGTAAAAATAAATTGTTCCAATTTTCAATTATGATATTGGACAAAAAGTCTTAACTATAAGTAACCTTGACCTTAAACAAAATATAAGAAATTGTGGATTATTTATTTAGTAATATATTTTATGAAGATGGTATTTTAAGCATTTGGTAATATTTTCATCTTTTAATTGTCAGTTTGTAATTATTTTCAGATAAGTTGTATATACTAACCTGTACATATACTGTAAAGATGAGTTCAAATACTAAATCCACCTCGAAAGGTGGTAAAGGGTCAAAAGGAGAAACTAACAAATCAAATAAACAGGACAAAGGAGATACAGGTAAAAAACTTGCCATAAGCAATTAATGATCTATAAAGACATAGATTCTTTGCTACATGCTTTGTTCTTTGCATGTGGTATTTCAACTACTTTGGCATACACATGCACCAGTGTAATTATCATTTAAAATTAACCACTAAATTTAAAGTTATTGACATAAGTAGTTGCCAAAGAATATAATTTATTCATATACCTTATAAGTAAATACCTTTTTGCAGGAAAAATATCAAATGATAAGTCACAACATATTGGCGCAGGAGAAGGAGCAAAATCACAAAAAAGTATTGAAATTGATGTAAAAGAAAAAGTGTTTAAATTGATAGAGTTCACTCAGCGTTCAGAAGAAGAGGTGTGCTTTGCTTTACAACAATGTGACAATGATCCCGATCAGGCTGTTAATATGCTGTTTGAACAAGGCACAGAGGTACTTAGTCAAGGAAAATACATATTTGCTTTTATTTGAAAAAGTAACCAACAATTTTCTAGGGTGAATGGGAAACTAGAAGCAAGAAAAAAAAGAACAGGCAAGCTTCAGTGAGCAAGGGTGATGGTGCAGATGTTGGAGGGACTGGTGAGTGGAATGAGAATCAGACTCAGTCAGGGGACAAAGACAAATCTCGGAACAAAAGTGGTGGACCCCCACGTCTTCACGGGAGGAACAATGACAGCCGTGGATGTAAGCAATTAATAATTTTTTATTAATATTAAACATTAATGTCTTAATATTACATTATTAGGGAAAGGAAGAGAAAACAAGGAAAATGAACGCAACAACACGGACGAGGGCGGTCAGTCAGAAAGAAGAGAAAGACGGGGTCGATCAGGGGGACCGACTCGTGGTGGTGGCGGACGAGGAAGAGGTGGCGGTCGTGCAGGTGGACGTTATCCACCCCGCGGTGGTAACCGTAACAACAATTCGTTCAACAACCGCCCGATCGATACTTGGGACAATGCGACCAGTTGGAATAACACAACCGTCACCTTTTCTTCGTCCCAGACTAACAAAGGTTCGCTTAACTCTAAATAAATAACTATTTTTTATAACTAATATAACTTACGTTAAATATCGTTTCAGAAGAAGTGTGGGACGATTTTCCGACCACGGATGACTGGTCCACCGAAGAGTACACTGGTAGTTTGGCCGATACGAAAGTGTTCACGCCTAGCACACAACAGCAAGGGGATACAGATGTCGGAATCGATGTGGCTTCGAATCTGGATGCCAACGGTACCATGCAACCCCCGTCGATCGTTGATCCCTCCACCCTTGGTTCTGCTGCCCAGCAATTATCCCATGCAATGGATATGCACAACCAGGGAACTAATCCAATTACCTCAATGGTAACCTTTTTGTGTTCTTCTTTCTATGATTGCATTTTTTGAAGTCATTAAACAATTTTTATTAACGTGATGATACCGATGACGAGACTGAGGTTTGGGAACGTTCGAGGAAATGTCTGAGATAAGTACTTTGTCTTCTGACAATTTCACTCGCAATTGAACCAAACTCTTAGATGAACGGCTACAACTGACTAACTAAAATTTATATGAACAGTAAATAATTTAAATACTGTTTGTTTCACTTTTTTTGTTGTCTTATTGTAGAGTCCCACGTCAATGGTGGGTGGCCCGCTGAACGCGGCACAGACGCAATATTTGAGCAACTTCACGCAACAGAATTCAGAAACTCTCAAATCCGTGCAATATGGAAATGCTTCGGTAGCGGCAGCGGCCGGGCCCCCGCAAGCACAGTACAACTCGGGACAAGTGTTCGTCAATGCAAATGCAGCGGCACCCACGGCCGGATCTCAGCCCTACGCCAGTGCGCCGCAGACTTACGGCGGTGCGCCACAAACTTACGGCGGTGCGCCAGCGCAGAATTCGTATGGTGGTACGGCTTACTACAGGGGCACAGGCAATGAACACACGGGACAAGCGCAGCAGGCCACCACCAGAGCGAAGACGCAGAGGGCGCGTGTACCTCCACCATCCAAGGTTAGTGTAAATGTTGTTCTTTGACAAAATCACAATGTTTTTAAAAATGTGACCTTTTTCTAGATACCTTCGAGTGCAGTAGAAATGCCTGGAGATCTGAATAGTAGCATCGGGTTTTTGGACGTACAGTTCGGAGCCATGGATTTTATGTCGGATGGCAATTCATTTGATGGGGACAAGTATGCGTCTCAAAATGAGTCTACCAATAGTGTGAATGCAAACGCGAATCTTGACCTCAGTCAGACGGGACAAAACGCTCCCTCAATCGACGCGTATTCGACCACAAAGCAGGGCAACCAAGGCAGTATTACTTCAGCGCTTTCGCAAAACGTAAGTTAAAAGTCTTTGTTTCTTATATATTATTTTTCTTGCAAGAACATGCACTTCGTTATTTATTTACGCTTACTATCAGCAAACCAAATATATATTTTTAATCACTAAAAAGGGGTGTTATGTTACTACTACCATTTTATGTTATTTTTTTGCACTAAAGCACTGTTATTTAACATTACTAACTTGTAATAAAAGTAACAATAAAATCTAAAGAGCAAGTGCGGTTATTTATCAATGTAACTTTAAGAATTAAAGACTTAAAGGACCAGCTTGCAAAATCGTTTATAAAATACTGTTGCATATAGAAACACTATTTATACAGGTGTATTTAAAAAGGGTTTATTTATTGATAACAATCATGGTAGATTATCGCGTCATTTTTTATTATAATTCTGTTGTTTCGTGTGCGAATTGAGTGTTATATTTGTTAGCTTTCGAACACGGACGCAATGCCGCAGCAAACTAGCGAACACCTGACGAATACGTATAACACGGTGTCGAGGAGTTCGGCGCAGGTGACGAACGCGGCGGCGGTTGGCGTCGTGGCGCCTTCGTCGGCGCCTACCATGGACATTAACAAGCAAGCTTCTGACACACATTCGTACGCTCCTTCGTCCACGTACAATTCGTATCAAACAAAGACTTCGACTGCGTATCCGGCGCAAAACTACAACTCGTCTAGTTACAATCCCGCTCAGGTGAGTCTGTATAGCGTCGCGACGGGCGCCGTACCGTTCTTTTTATTAAGTAGGGTGGCAGGCAAGCAGGAGATCGATTAATTGGATCGTTGGTGTAGTCTTCGTATTATTATTTTTTCGTGAGGATTGTCGTATACTGGGTATTAAAATTAATGTGTACAATTAACTAATTTTTTGCTTACCTTTTCTGTTTATTAACTTTTCTGTCCAGCAATGCATGTCACCCTCGATAAATAACGATCTTTGTGTCTACGACATTAAATTATATTAATATTCAATTTACTGTATTTGATACATGTAAATACTGTTGTTTTGTTGTATTCTATGAGTAGTTCATTATCAGGAAATTTTCTTACCATATTAACAATGCAAAAAATGATGTTTGGATAACGACCTTCGAGGATTTTTGTGGCGAGACAAACACCTTTTATGATAAATGTTTTGTCTGTATCGCTGAAAACAATCCTTTGAAAATAAAACAATTCTGATTTAAATTTAGCAAAAAGTTAGAATTTTCGATAAAATTTTGGTGTGCTTTGACTTACAAGAGATGTTATGTTTCATTTCAGACAACGACAAGTTCGTACACGGCTAATCAGGGTAGCAGCAGTTACTCCAGCGGTAATGCCGGATCCTACAACGCTTCCAGTGCTACGGCTGGGTATCAGAATGCGTATTCGTCGAATTCGTACCAAGGAAACTCGGGATCATCTGGAGGATTCCCTTCAATCAGCCAGGCCAATACTTATCCTGCGCAAACAGCCACAGCAGCCGCAGGCAATCAAAGCTATCAGCATAACGCTAGTCAATCGGTCTACGGTTCGAATGCAGGTAAATATGCAGAGGTTTTTTTAGAGTTCTGTATCAAAAAGGTAAAAAGACATCTTCATAAACTGTACTACAGTCGCAAAGAAATCATAAGTAATTTTTTACTTTAGGTTTAAATAGCACATCCGGTTTTGGCAACACGTCGTCTAGCACTAATCAGTACAGTACCTACAATTCGACGAGTAACAAATTGAAGGATTCTTCGTACGACACGAGCAACACGACGACACCCAGTTCGGCGACGAACACGAGCAGTAGCGTCAATACAACAACGGCGTCATTATCGCTCTCTCAAACAACCACGACTGGAACTAAGACTGCAACCACATTAGGTGAGTTTATTATTTTTTTCTCCGTATTACCTCTTGATTTATTCTATTTACAGCCAAAAATACAAGTAGTGTTATGTCGAATATTCCACCTGGTGTTGCTGCCCCCGTGATGAGTACGCAGTATATAATGAGCCAGGGAATACCCTATTTCCAACAACCCATTTATTCATTCGAAGATATGCAATTGTTACAACAAAGGATTCCACACATGGTAAGTTTTAAACTTCTCTTTTTTTGTCTTTATTTCTTATGTTAGCAATCTTCTTGTAATATAAAATGGATAATATAAATTACCATAAAAAATTCTTTTACACCCTTTGGAAGTCCTTTTTCCATTTTTTTCTTGTAAAATATAATTTCCTTTTAGGGTGTTTTCCATTTTTGTTTTTTTAATTTTCCTTCTTTAGACGACCGGTTATTATGACATGAGTTATCAGACGCCAACAACGCTGGCGGCGGTCCGCGACGGCGCCCTGGCTAACGTGGCTTACTCGATCTCGGATGGACGGTTCACACGCGGTGATAACACTTCGCCAGTCCCATCAACCCTCTCCCAACAGACCAACACGCTCACGCAGGGACATCAGCAAGCACAGCCTATGCTTGCCCAAACTGCAGGGCCCGCACCCTTCTTCTACACCGCGGCCGCATACAATCCCATGCAACCCACATACCAGTTTGGGGCTGTTTATCCTGTAAGTAAAAAAATAAAAAATTGCTTTAGAAAGTAAAAGTAAAATTCATCAAATTTCAGTTTCTTTTTTTCGACTGATTCTGTAAATTTAGTAATATTGCCACAATTTTTACTTAGCTCTAGTTCCTGTTTAATAAGTAGGGTGATGATAACGACATATTTATTGTTTTAGCAACTGCCAACTGTCACAAATGCTCACGGATCGAACAGTACGAGCCAGTACCCAAAACCCGCGACGTACGCTTCTGGATATGGGTCAGGCTACGACGCCCTGTCTCAGTCACAAGAATACGGCAAAGGGGGATACATGAGCAACACACAGGGTCAGAACAAGGGCGCCGCTGCCAATTCGTCATCTACTGGATCTACCGGAAACGATCTCACAGCTGTGTATGGAAAATCTCATACAGCATTAGGCAAAGTCAATGTATGTTTTTCCTTTATAACAACTCACAAACAAACTTTATCTCTTTATATTTTTATATTGTAATTACTGGCTATTTCGGTTACAGTCGTATGAGAAGCAGGGTTTTCATTCGGGCACGCCTCCTCCATTTACTGGACCGCTCCATGGTAGTCAGAATGCGGGACTGGCGCCCAGTGGAACAGGTTACGGGCCCCAAATGTATATCCCCACAATAGCCCCACATCAACAGCACCATTCGACTCAGTTGATGCATCAGCCTTTACATCAGGTATGTGATACAAATTACTGTATTATTATTATTTTTAGTTCGTAAGCCTTAAATAGAAACTCTTCCAAGAAGGATTAAAAAGTACATAAGCAAACATGTTTTTAATTTAAATTATCACGTAGAAACTTATTCAAAAGAGAAAAAAAAATGTTATGTGCATATACAAAAAGATTTTCTTTATTTCTTAATTGGGTCATTTTGAACTTGCACATGTATTGAACATCAACATTTCAAGAAAAATACGCGTTTTGTAAAATAAAATTAATGTCAATTTAGCTTCTTTAAACGTTCAGGTTTCTCTGAAATTAATTTCTTTAATAAGTGTTGTTCAGTTGCAATAAATTACTTATATCTTGATTCTATGTAAAATTGCACGTTTTTTATTTTTCTCTTTTAAGTGTTATACTTTCAGTATACATAAAATTTGGCATTATGAAAAATATTTATTGTCGTTGTTTAAAAAGCGATGTCTAGCGTTATGGATATACCGATGCCACTTCAGCATGTTTTGTTTCCCTTTTTAGTTATTTAGATTTTCTTTTGCTTGTAGATTGAAGTACGGCACCAAAACCGGCGTATGGTAAGTCACCCACCCGCCGATTAAAACCGTGCTTCTGCCTCTTGCTTTTTTCGTTATATCCCTTTTGTTTAATCTTTGCTGTTATAGTCGTGATGGGTTTTTTACCTCCGTTAAGGACATAGTTGTCCATATTTTGTGGTTGTTTTTCATCTATCCTAACCTTCTGTTGCACACGCTTTTTTTATTATTTCATTATGTTTTATCACATTGCTTTATTTCTTCTCACTTTTAGACACTTCTATAACTAACTACTGTACAACGAACAAAATTATGTATCTTAAAAATTAAATAAACACCTTTTGCTTATTAAAAAATGCGCAACTTGAAAGCAGTCTGAATTATCAATTATCACAAGTAGTAGAAAATTAAAAACTAATGAAGAGGCTCACCCTTAAATTAGGGCGAGTTTCTTTTTTAGTTTATTCCTTTTAATAGTCTCTATTTTCTTCGAATTTCAGATTTTATAAGAATAATATTAATTCTTAAATCTAATACGTAATGTGCAATGCATAAACTTCGTGAAATTTATTAAAATAGTATGAAGAGTGAAAATTTTGTTGTTATAATACTATTTCAAATTAATGTTGTTGTAATATTGAAACATAAGGTAGTGTAACGTTAACTATTTAAACTTTAGATAATGTAATTTTCTATGAAAATAATTTGGTGCTGACTCGTACAAACTAGATACATGCTCTAGCGACTGATATACAATGATTTTCGATTTGTTAGCTGCTATTATCTTGCGAAATTGTGTGGGTTGAAATAGTTCATATAATTCTTGTATTATATTGAATTGTAACGTTAAAAATTGGCAATTATAGTTTAGAATGCAGTTACCTATTTTTTTTCCAGGTATTTTCATTATCTATATTGGGTATATATTAAAAACATCTTTTCCATTTTATTTTGCAGGAGTCTAGCAACAGTAGTGGCCAACGTTCGCAAGCTGCGAATCAGGGAAAGTCCGGGAATAAGCAGTACCCTACGTCCTACTGGAATCAGGCATAAAAAGCGCGACATTCAGTTTTATTATTATCCCTCTTTTTCTCCGTCGTCGGTTTTTTTGCTTTTTTCCACCAAATCACTACTGCTGCAATGACAGTCGCAGCCGCAGCCGCATCCTTTAATAATATATATTATTGTGTAATTATATTTAAAGTAACATTTGTGACCCAAGCAGCGTATGGCTTTAGAAAAGACGATGACTTGATTTCGAGTCATCCTTTTGCATTTAGTTTCTAGCCGCGAACAAGCGGCATATTAATAATTATTACTACTACTTCTACGATTAATAAATTATTACTTTGTATACATACACCGAGTTTATTATTAATTTATTATTATTGGCAGTCTGGTGTATTTTATTGTCTATTTTTTTTTATTTAAATGCATACTGTATTTGTCGTGCAATGACGATGATGATTTGTGGTGACGATGTAGTCCTATACAAGACGAACTGCCACCTCTATTATTATTGTACATTGGCTCTTACACATTTGCCAGTTCCTCTTGTATAAAAATCGATATATTATTATTGATTGGTTTAATGCTTTTACCAGAGTTATTTTGAATTTACTTTCACACACAAGTGTTTGGTAGTAGGAGGATAGTTGATTAATTCGTTAACTAACGGATTATATATATTTCACGCTTTCTATTATCAAATTAACGATAAAATAATTCGATGGTTGATGATCGAATATGTTGGACAGTTTTAAAAATAGATGTCAATTTGCAGCCTTTTTCGAAATAATTATATACATATTACAATATTAAATTTTAGTGGAAAAGAAAACGGAAAAATTAATTATTATATGACTGTAAATATCGCTTTGGGTTTTTCTTTTTTCGTTTTTGATAAATGGACACTTCTCTTGTAGCTGCTAGATGACTGCTGCATTAGGAACATTAATAAACAATATGAAACTGATATATATATATAAATACATAATATATATTATATATATTAGTAATCTGTAGTAGGTAAACTGACTTACCTAAATTATTTTAGGGGTCAAGCGGTGACTGAGCTGAGGTTTTTCTTTTCTTTCGACGTTTACGACGGCACGTAAGACGGCGCGTTAAGAATCGCTGTGTTGTCGTATATTTTCCTTTGTTTTGTGTTTGCGATGCATCCTTTAACTAGCTGCTATAACTACAGACGTGGTGAATTAAAATTACAATAGTTTTGAAATTAATAAGTCATTTGTATTAAGAAAAATATTTTGAAACAGTCTAGGAAATTTTGGGGTTTTAAACTTCACATTAAATCTACTATTAAATAATTAAACTATTACCTATCTCTGTTAAAAATAATACTGTATTTTTGTAACTAATAATTTAAACTATATTTAATTTAAATAAATTTGGGTTAACATAATAAAGGTAGAAGTTTTGAAAAAAAAGGATAATGATATCCACAAAAGGGTTTTAATCGTTATAAATTCTAATATAAATAAGGAGGTAAATTGAACGTATTTGTATAAAACTAGTGATACTGTTTTAATTATTCGCATGAAGATTATTTTATTTTTAGGTAAAATTTATGGGCTTCTTGGAGAGAAGAAATTTTTGACAACGTCTTAAAAAAATGTTATTGTACAATATACATTCACGTCTGTAATGTTATCTGTAAATGTAATTGTTAATTAAGAAAAAAAGGCATCGCGTGTTTATTTATGAGAAGTATATTTGTGTACCTAAGCTATGTATAAAAAAAATAATCACTTTTATGTAGAGTATAAGTGTGTAGTTCTGTTTTGTATCTGAAGTTAATTATTAATGAAGAAAATGGGAAAAATTAATGTTATGTACTGCATTAGCTCCCTCCCCGTATTTTGTATTTACATTATGAATGTAGACGCTAAGTAATTATTATTGTCATGTAAAAAATAAACAAAACCATTTAAAAAACGGTAAGAATAATAAATTTAATTTGCTGGTACTTTAAGACAATGTTGTTTTTATTATTTGTAAAATTTATCGTTTTATTTAAATTAACCAATGAAAAGATAATAATAAACCTTTTTCCAGTTCTCACGATGCCTTTCATTTTTATCTTAATTAAAAAATATTAATCTTTGGAGGAAGCAAAGGATAATGAGACGTGTAAAAAGGCATTTTTATTAACATTTTTACAAAAAAATCTTCACACATTTATTCAATTTGCTAAATAAAGACTGGCAAATTTGTTAATCCTCCACGCACCGACGACAAAATTAACCCTGCTTCCGTAAAAGATTGGCTGTACCACACGATTTCAGGCTTCAACAGGACAGAGAGGGAATGAGATGCAGACAGACAGACAGATGAATAAACGAAAGAGAAGAGATGGTGAAATAAATAGCTGTTCGCGTTTCATTCTCTAGAAAAATTACTAAGACACAAAAAACTGTACCCTTAACACATCTACGTATACGATATTATGCATTTAAGAAGAGACAAAGTGATGTACATGAAAAAAATTAATAAAACAGAAAATCGAAACGAATGGTCCGCGATGTAGTTTCATATTTATCTCCGTTTTTAATTAATTAATCCAATAATAATTGCAATTTGAAACATTGTTTTAACCATACACACATTTTCGAGTTTTTAAACCTTTTCAGCGATGGTGAGGAGCTCTTCCACGGCGGACATGAGAAGCTTGATATCGTCCTTGAAGTCTTTTTGGTTACTGCCGGACTTTTGCTCATCTCCACTGTTCATTTCCTCGCTGTTGCTCGCATTTTGTATTTCAGAAACATCGTCACTGTTGTCTTGACGTCGCTCCTTTTTCGAATCACTTTTGACTAGACTGCTATCCTCAGGGTCCTTTGAACATCCCGGTTTCGCTAGGTCCTCTTTTTGATTCACCTCTTCGCTTTTAGGGATTGTTTTCGAGTTTTCTTCTGAATTACTGCTACTGGAATCTAACGAATAAAGTTCATTTACCAAAAATTATTTTTCAGTAATCATTATTGATCCTTTTTGAAAAGATTAAATATTTTACTAACTTTCTCCCTCAAATTCAAATTCCTTTAATACGTCCTCGACCCTAGTTTTGAGTTGTTGAAGTGTAGTTTTGAGTAACGGAGGTGGTACAGCCTCGGGACTATTGTATACAAGAACGAGAGCCCTTAGGTCTCCGGCCAGACGTCTTGCCATTTTTTTAATATCCATCGAAACGACTTGTTCGCTTAACGTAACCACTGTGTTGTCGATCATGTTTAGGGTTTGTTCAGTCAAAACTCGATCTGAAACCTAAGCAGAATATTACAATTCGATTATCTCATGGTAAAATATTCGATTTTACTTTGGGAAAGAAAGTGGTAAGAAATTCGTAGATTATGTCGTTGGTGAGGGCCAGACGTTCGTCTAGAAGCACTGCGTCTACGTAATCCACGAAATAGGTGCACGAAGTCAACATCGTTATATATTTTCTGTCCACGTGCTGAAAATACAAAGTTAATATTATTAATATCGATCTCATTGTAATAATTATTTATTTACCTGTACTCGTAAGACATCCAGCCAAAATTTAGGGAAGTAAATGGAGTGTAAAGGCACCGCCTCAAAGCCTACCATCGCACTTAAAGTGATCATAACTTCAGATAAAGATTCTGAATTAACAGCTAATCGACAAAGCATGTCGATAAATTCGTGATATGGTGTGTAAAACTTGTCCAATGCTTCATCATACTCCGGATCGACACCCTACAAAATTGTTTATTAGAATACCGTTACAAATACATACTTTAAAAAACTTCATTAACTTACGTGGTTACATTCGAGTTGATTATGAGGGACAGTCATTTGTACCATTGGCCTTAAAGGTCTCCCAGTCCCTTTACCAGCAGAGGGTGGCAAAGGATGTCCTCTTCTGGGAAAGTATGGTCCCAATGGAACAGCGTCGTGGTTGTCGTGGAACGCAGAGTGACAGTGTGACAATAGGGGAACCGAAATTTGCATTACTTCTCCTGGCATTATTAACACGAACTCTTTTAAAATTTCTGAAATATAAAAAAAAATAAATAAGATTTTTTTATTGTAACAAAGGGTGAATATTTTGCTCACCTATGCACAACAAGCGCATCTCTGGGGGATTGTAAGTATTCAGAAGTGTTGCGAGTTTTCGAAGTACCTCAAGCCAATCCTTGCAATTGAGCAGAATACTTCTTGCGTCCTTGGGTTCCCTGTATATCCTTAAACAACGGACCAGATCAAGCAGGATGGACAGGATCTCCGTCAGATCTCCAGATACATGGCATGTTGTTGCTTCGTGCAACATTACGTGTAAATTTTGGAATGACTACAAAATTATATACACTTTATATCAACTTACAATTTAGCGTTGAAATTTATTAAATTATGTACCTCGAAAACTATTTGAAGGCCACTGTTATAAACTATATATAGTCTATCGTCATTGGATTCGATTAATATCCTAAATGCAGATATGAGAGTCGCCCAACTCGTTCTACCATCCAAACACTGGTAACACAAGAATAAATTTAATAAATGAAAAACTAGTTAATAAGCAACTCTTGTAAGGCATATCCAGATAAATACATATTTAATTTAATTTGTAGTTTACCTGTAAATAAGCAGTAAGGGTCGACCTCCTAAAAGAGCAAATTTCTCGTTGCTCAGCTTCCGTTGCGTCCGGATATTTAGTAACGAAAAGCTGCATCAATTTAAACAGTTCCTCGACCGCCTAGTATTAAAAAAAAAAATTAAAATTAAAAAATTAAAAAAAGGAAGGAAATTATTTACAATGGGATACTGCGTGGGATGTGGCGTGATGTTTTTAAAAGCCCACTGAAGATTCTGGTGTTGCGCAAGATGTCTCGTGAAATTCTTCGACTGTTGGCACATCATCCTCAAGAGACCGTAGTATGCCGGCAACATTGCTCTGTTGTACATAACGATTTCTTGGTCGTCGTGGTCTGCCCTAAAACCAAAAATACAAACATTGTTTGGCATTTAAAAGTCAATAAAGAAAAGATTGAGGTACAATTTTACTTACAGTATATAATTAAATGCAATATTTTTGGTAACATGAGCATTCTGAAGCATGAGCTGCACGTTTTCCGGACAATCGGTACACACGTGGTTCCAGAAGGCGAGCAAGGCCTGTTTATTATGATGGGCAGGTATGGAAGGTTCAGATAATTTGGGATGAAACAGGTGCCACAGCTGCATAAAGTACTGACCAAACTAAAACACAATTACAATTAAATTAATGTAAGTCTTCATTTAGCAAGCCTAATAGGATTTACCATCAGTTTTTCTGTCCTCGAAATGCAACAGTACATCAACAGGGCAAAATACGCGGTAAGTTTCATGGTGCCGTGCTGCTGTATGTCGGTATAATGTTTTGCGGAGGCTAAGAGTCTTAGAAGTTCTGTATATATCTTGTGAAGAACAGACTGGGCTTCTGCAGATAACTGAGGTTCACGGTGTAGCCGATGAGTTGCTCTGAAACCTTGGCGGAACTGTGTACTAGGCACCAAAGATACCAATAAATATCCAGCAGCTAAAAAACATTAAATAAATTAAATGGTAAGAAAACGTATAAAATATGTTCTATTTACCATTTCTGACTCGTTGGTTGCCGTGAGCAATTAAAAAATGCTCGAGCCACGAGTTCATCGAATTGAGGACCCACTGGTGTACAAGACGACTACGGGTCACTTGCAGGGCAAGCCAATCGAGAGCCGAATAGGGACAACATTCAGCCGCCTCCCACACCCTTTGCAACACCAATTGCGTGAAACAGGGCTGACCAGGTTGATTATTAGCCGAACTTTGAGAACTACTTTCTGTTAACAATGTTAGTATTTTGAAGAATGGCTGGCAAGACTGCATAAAAAAAACGTTATTAGTTAAAATTCAATAAAAATTTATGTAACAGAACAATCTTACTTCTGAATGTCGGCTAATGGCTTGAGAGATCATGCTAATAATTTGGGTGGCGAGTCTTTCGTTCCCTTTGCAGAGCGAGTGAATAAGGTTGCGGGTTTGTTGCAAGTTTATGTTGTCTTTTATTTGTTGGTACAAGAAGGGGAAACCCTGGAAAAATTAGTTCTTTAGTACATACAATTAACCAAAAACAACTAATTGTTATTCACTTTTCCTCCAGCCACAGCATTTTGGTCTTTGGCACTCAATTTCAATCGTCCTGAAGCATCCCTACTCTTTTCAACAAGGGATGCTATCAAGGTGATCATTTTATCTAGGGATGCTGGTTTATATTTATCTGTAGGCAAAGCAACTACTTCTTCTTCTTCTTCACCTTCACTTACATCCACCTGGAATAATAAACAACAGATGGTATTTTACGTTAGTAGCTATGTATATAGCAATGGAATTCTTACAAAATCGTTTGCCTTTTGGCCAAGATAAAATTGAACCATTGTGTTTACAGCACCAACGGTTAATAAAAATTTAGATTCTTCTTCTCCCATCCGGCTAAATTCATACAGAAAACCGAAAAATTCTGTCAGATGTTTTAAGTGGGCCTTTGCACCATGTTCCATCTGAATAATAAAGCACACAAGTAAAAACTATTTACTTATACTATTATTAAATTACCAATGATAGGAGGGTTTTTACAAATTTGGTAACACAGGATACGTTTCCAATTTTTTGGGGTTTGACCTTTAGTAAGTCGTCATCACTTAATTCGTCATTATTTCCCCCGCTATCATCCTCGTCGTCTACTGCCAAATACAAACTAGAATGCAATGGCCTACAAAATATTAATGAAGTGACATTAAAAAAAAAAAACGATTCAACAATTTAATAAATCGTCTGTCTTACTTCAATCTTTGAATAACGTGGATGCATAGCCTCTGGAACATTTGCCTTACCATTTGATTGGGGCATTTTAGAAGTACCTGAACAGGCCACCATGTGTCTTGTGCCATGTGTTCCAAAAACCATACACATGCTTCTTGGCATGCATTGAACTGTTTGGTGACCAATTCAACCCACTGAACCATCGTTGGCTAATAAAAATATATTATTGATTGCATAAAATTTGAGAAAAAAAATTACTTACCTTTTCCTTGGCATGAATGAACGTCTCGATAAAGAACGACATGGACAATTGGGCTGCTTTCTGAGTGATATCAGGCTGTATGGGCAAAATTGTTTGAGGAATGTAACCGCATATTTGCCACATAAAACTAAAGAAGAAAGCAATTTTTTCTCTATTCCTACTTCACTTTTATTTAAATATAAAGCAAAACTAACTTGAAATATGTGTGTTCGAAGATATTTTTGTCCTGTATGAAATGCATATTATCCTGCCATATCCAATCGGCCAATTCTTTGCTCAATTCAAACGTGGTCGTACTTGAAGACGAACAGGACGATATAGTGCTCTCGTCAGGTTCGAATGCAGTTGAAGGACATTCGACGCCTTCAGGACTACCGCTCACGTTTATAGGACACCGTTCGTAAAAAAGCATGTAAGCGCTGTTCGTTTTTTCGAAGCTAAAGTCCATAAACTTATCCGTTACACTATCATAAGTTTTACTCTGCAAAAATAACAAGATGATTATTATCTTACATACTATGATAAAAAAATTACAGTCATTTCTCCGCCAAAACATTCTGCTGCTATTTGATTGGGATCAAAAGGTTTCACTTCAGCGTCGTTGAATAGAAACCATTTGTCTCTAGAGCCCCCTGTTCTATCTTTGATGAAACTATAATAGTGACCCCCGTCTGCAGTACCCGTATGCACTGTCACGCCTATAAGATCATATTCATATTGTTCCACCTCCTCAAAGTCACCGCTCTTCTCTTTTTCTTCTAAAAATTTTTAATAACTATACACAATTAGATCTACAAGTTTTAATTGAAATAAACATTGTACTTGCCACCTTTTGGCCTGTTTTTAGTTATATAAATTATTTAAAAAAGAATATCTGCCAGCGTTATTAAATAAAAACCAACGACAAAATAAATGTTTTTATAAACGAATTCAAACGGTTTTAGACTGTTAACTTTTTTTTTTTTAAGTTAATAAAACGTAATTGATTTAATTATCAGACATACAGTTAAATAAATATAACTCGTATATCTCACCTTGATACTGTTGAGGCATAAGCTGCTTTTCTACGTACCCCGCCATGTTCAGTCTTAATGGAAATGAAAAATGCGTATTGACCTTCTCCTTTAACATCGTTAACATATTAAAAGTATATCTCATTGTGTTAAAGCACAATATCTGAGGGAGTTTTTTAAAACATGCCCTGCAAATAATTATAGAAAATTAAAACGAATTAGATTAAAAATTCTGTATCATTCACCTCTTCTCAGCTCGTACTTTTTTGCCACATTGCGAACATGTGTACATGTTATCACCCTCAAGAGTATCCTTAACGGTAACTTCGTCCAAAGATTCGTACAAATTTCTCATGTCCGCCACCTGACAACGAACAGTGTAGAATTCTTCGAGGGTTCGACTAACGTGATTGCAGTCCTAAAAATAAAGCATTATTATCAGTATATTCTTGTAAAAACGAATTATCTAATACTTTAACTTACTAGTGACACGACATTGTTGCTTATAACGCCACAAAAAAGAGTTTTTATCACTTTTTTTAAGGTCGGCGTCATTTCTTCTAATTTACTGACAAGATCTATGAAGAACTCAGCCATGTCCTTCTGTTCGGCAGTGTTCAGGGGCTGATGATCCATTGTATACACTTTACAAAAACTCCGAGGATTGTAAGCTTTCCTTTCACTTTCCTTAAAACATAAAACCGTTCTTAAGTGGCAAAAAGTTTCCCAGCTATGCATCTACATGTTTACCAATAAATAGGCGAACATTCTTTGAAGCTCCCTCAGAGTTGATTCGTGTTTGGAATGTTCCACGTTTGCTGAAAGGATTGACGATCTCGCCTGGGGCATCATATACAGGTGCTGCATACAGGACGCCATGTAACAGGTAGCCCCCAGGTTCGTAAGTCCAACATATCCGCACTCTGATCTGCCATCGTCATGGGGCCAATAGTCCCAAGGATAAGGAGAATTTGGACCTGCAATTTATATACGAATAATAATAATAAATTATTGAACAACTGAAAGAAAAAAAAGTGCCCAACGTCCCTAAAGAAGTTTTGACTTCAAAAATGTTGATTTAAGCAAAAGTACCTGGTTGATGTTGTTGAAGAAGTTTTTCGTGTAAGATGGCGTAATTTTCGGGCGAACCTTTAACTAATTCTACGAGAAGATCAAATGCAGCCGTTCGAGATCTTACTGATTTACATTTAGGAACATGACGTTTCTTTGGATTGGGAAGCGCGAAGAGAAAATCGAAAATCTATAAACAAATTAGAATATTAGTAAATGCTTGAATTACAAACACACGACTTGAGAAACAAAAATTACTTCAGATATCAATTCTTGACCCTGTTTACTGGCTTGGAATGGCAACCTATGTTTCAAAAGATTTGTGAGCAGGTTTAGCAGTCCTATGAGACCGTCATCGTCGACGGTCCTGTGCCTCGTTTCCAGGTATTCCCGGGCTAATACTGATTCGGCCACTTTAGCAGTTAAATTATTTACATCTATCACACAATTCTGAGGTTCCTCTATACTTTCTAAAAAAGTTAATTACGGTTAATCCTTTTCTCGGACAAACGAACACAAATCTCGTACCTTTGACGACGTCGTCAGGTAAACTGTCAACCAGTCGTGAAATCAACCAAAAATAATCTCGACATGCTGGCCCATAAGGTTCTTTGCCTTCCTCTGGTGCTTGTATACCCTAAAAAATCAAGTGTACTTACGTTTAGCAATAAAATAAATAAAATACAAGAGTAACTCACGTCTAACTTTTGGGGTCGCATACTTTCCGCCACAGTTAAATAGTTAAGCAACTGTGCTAGAATCGGGGCTGTGATGCTATGGTCAGACGTGTCGTTACGAGCTGATATGCCCAAGCACAATCTGTAAAGGGCAGAGCACACTTCTCTTCGTACAGCAGGTTCTGGATCTTCTAACACCTTAACATTGATTTATAAAAATTAAAAGAACCCGTTGACGTAAAGAAAAAGTATATTACCAGTCTCTGTAGCCATACAGAAAAACTGGGAGTTTCAAAGAGCGCTTGCTTTGCTTGTTCACTGCAGTGTAACCACGATACCAACAAGGACATTGCGTAATGAACCACCTCAAATTATAATAAAAATTATAAATTTGGTCTCAAGCAATTGCAATTAAATGAACTAGTTAAAAACAAAAAATGCACGGAAGAAAATTGACAATTTCTTACTTGAGCTCTTCCCCAGAATCCAGTTTTGTAATAGTTAGGATCTCTCGGCATGGACGCCTCTTGTAAGATGCTAGTAAGCCTATGCATAGTACTCTTCACTTCTATCATCGACAACAAACACTAAAATTTTCATTTTCAAATACTGGTAAAGAAAAATTGGAATATTAGAGAATCGTTGTACCTCATTAAGACTAGGAATAATTATTTTCTCATTCCTTGAAGGTCTGGTATCGTTAGGAGTGTTCTCAACCCCCAAGTGGCACAGCAGTTTTAACAAGGACGCCAAACAGTCTTGGTGCCACTCGCCTCCACTATCTCCAGACTTTTGTAAGACACCTACAGTCATTTAAGAGAGTAGAAATGAAACTTTTGGCATTTCCTAAATGCTTGAATGTTACCTGACATAAAAATATCAAACAAGTGCCTAAGTCCCCCTTGTTGTATAAACACGTTGCTCCAGGGCTCCTTGCCATCTTCCTGATTCTTGGTGCTCGTCTTGACACTCAACGACTCGACGATGTACAGTGAATACATCAACTTCTGAGGACTAGACGGGTCAAGGAGCTCGGCAAGTGGTGTGTCCAGGTTCTGGAAGCCTCTTAATAGAGTCGGATTCGTCGGTAAGAGACTCAAAATGTCCCACACTCTTCTGCTGAGAACTTGTGCTTTTGTATGAGGCATCTTATTCTGAAACAATATAAGGGAATTAAAAAAATAATAAAGTTGTAATATTGATTTTAACTAACTCCGCCCTTAACTGGTGTCTTCATGTTGCTAAGAGTATGCATTAGGCCAAACAGCTGTTCGAAATAATTAGGCCTAAGCAAAAGAAGGGTAGGAATCGATTCTCTGGGGGGAGGTGGTTGAAGGGAGGGCGAGTCTGCGCATTCCCTTTTCTTTAATCCGCGAGCGGCCCCGACTGATATAAACACCATCTGCAATCAAAAATTCATCTTAATGATCAATAAATGAATTAATTAACAGAGAAAAAAATATGTAAACTCGTATTTTAATAAAATTAGAAATCAAATTAATATATGCATATGTTAACCTGATTATCTTTGAAACCCATTTCTGCCAGAGTTTTTTCATCAGATTCAGTGGTAAGTTCCTGGCCTTGTGTAATGATTCGTATTGGCCCTTCTTGTAAAGCAGGAGAGCTTCTTTGATTTTCTGACTCAGCATTTCTGATCTTAATGTAAAAAAATGATAATTTTAAACTTCCATATTATACGTTATTAATTAATTATTTGCGGCATTGTTTTTAATTTAACAAATACACATACCTCGCAAAGTTTTTCCCACCAAGTAACCACTTCAGCTCTTAGGTCGGCAACATAATCCGAACTTAAGAGATCCAAAACGGACCTTTCGGACATCACAGCAGGTTGTACCATTAATCTTATAAGGGTGGAAGACCGGTCTCCTAAAGCGGCGTGGCTACCCACTCCTTTGCCCTCTAAAGCCCAACGTCGTAAATGGAAAGCGTACCTTAAGAAGAAATAATGTAAATAATAAAGTTATGTAACTCTTACGTTTATTTATCAATTTACCTGCGCCTAAAGGTTTCCATATGTGTTTTAAGCAACAACAGGGCTCTTTGTATGTACAATAAGGGCGCTTCTTCGGTCCCGGGGGTTGTAGAGGACACTAGATCGTCTGTGGCAGCCGCCAAGTGCGACATACACTGCCAAACGAACTGTCCTTCGTGCTGAAGATTCTGCCCCATGTAGTATCCGTTCAAGTACTGAATAGCAGCCATACTAACATCTGCATGTACAAGAATGAATATTTTGTTTTAGGATATTGAAGAAAAATTTACCGGTATTGTTAGCTTTAAGGGCGATTTTCCACATGTGATCCATACCAACAACGTAACCATCGTGCCCATTAGCATCCATGTTGGCAGTCGCGATCCTGGCCAAATTGCATAACTGTTGGAATAGACTCAAACAAGTCATGCTGAAATTTTCAGGGGGCAAACTAGGCAGATGATGAAGGTAAAGGCGTTTGAGTGCCTTCAATCCAAGTGCGTGAAGTTCGATACTTTTAGCTTGAGACAGCAGCCAGCTGAAGAGCTCGTCTGAGCATTCAGGATCATGTGCCAGGCACTCCCATAATGTGTCCACCTGTTCCAGACTTAATCTAACAAGAGAAATAACAAAGAAATTAATTAAAAAATGATTATAAACATGAAACCATAAAATTTGAACCCAGCAAATTAGTAATCAGCTTACTTCATATCTAAAAAAACTAGTTCTTTGAAACATACAACAACAAAACCTTATATGTAATTGACTGACTTCTTGTCCAATGGTTACGATTTACCTCAGAAAAAAATACGACAAATTATAGCAGAACTATTAGAAAAAACTTACTTAAATGTTTGAGGGGACCCCAGAGGTGAAAAAACAGCAGATAAGAAATGTAGTCGAACTTGAATTTGCATCTGATGCGAATACAACGTGAGCGCTTTGCTAGGGTCTGCAGTGTAAACTTTCAAATTATTGAAGAAATGAGACATCATGTGATGCTGTCGTTCAGCCCAGTGAGTGATATGGTGCATGTCTAAGACCCGAAACTGTTGAAACGACGTAAGTAACTTCGGAAGAAGACGTAAAGAGACAATGACGGAGCTGTAAATGAAAAAGTAAAATTATCTCATAATAAAAAAAATAAATAAAAACCTTACGTATTATTGGCCAAATTACGAAGACATCCTTCAATAAATTTCATTCTGATTATTCTGTCTGTGTTATAGCATAAGATGTTGCACAGGGTCTTTTCGGCTTCTAAGGCCAGGCCTTCACCCAATTGACTCTAAAACATTCAGTCTTATTTTAGTTTTAAAATGAGTAATGTAATTAAGACTTACAATCTTGTTATCTTGAAGCAGATCCCACAGGAGGGTGTTGCCGGGTAAGCAG